TCAGAGTGTACTTCTTTGTTTTTGTAACCATATTGATAAAGTGTTCTTGGATTAATAGAACCAGTACTGACTGGATATTGCACCCATAAATGGACATTTTGTATAATTCTCCAATAGCAATGGAGAACGAATTTTATTTCATGGTGTACTGCTGTAATTAGTGAAATATATATATACACATATACTCTATATGTCACTGTTTAGAACTGTTCACTAAATTGGAAAGAAGATGTGTAAGCAGTCAGATAGCTCAGTAGAGCTGCAGAACAGTGTTCACATATCACATATTAATACTGTATACATAACATAGTGTAAGATAAGAAGATAAATATGTGATTTATGAAAATAAACAAACTCCTTGATGAAGAGGGGTTTAAACTTTAACCCCTCGAAACATTGGAGCTTAAAAACTTTGTGGAGAAGATAAATATCATATTTTGTGGTTTGTTTATTTTTTCTCAATTATTCAGTGTCTTGTCAATAAATTATAATAATTATAAAGATTTTGTTCCCTGCTGACATCAACAAAATGTACATTTTTTTAAACAGTTAAGTGCCAAAGGTTGAAATGAACTAGAAATGTGTCCATAAGACACGGGTGCCCCCACACTCCACTGTTTTGTCAATCATATGACTTTAGGTCAAATATTTTTTAGGCTACATGTGCCACAAGTTAAAAACTAAATATTGTTTACTAAGTCAAGGGCAAGACTTTTACAAATAATGAATAAATCCACAAGTTAACCCCAAGGTGCAGAAGTACATGACTGACCAACATTCTTGTAAACTTTCAGACCTACAGGTCAAATATTTTTTGAGTTATGCATGAACAAGTTGAAAATTGCAAATTTATACTAAGGCAAAGGCAATAACTCTAACAAAACTGAAAAAAATCCACATGCAAAACCCCAGGTGCAAAGCTTCACAGTGCAGGGCCAAAAAACCCTTCTTTGTAGAGCCCGAATATAGGCTGCTTCCCCAACCAAAATAGCCTCTTTTTTTCCCCCAGTTTGGTCCTCAAAATTCCCCAGTCTTTTGAAATTTCCCATAGAATTTAGCAAAAAATTAAATGATGGTGTTGAATTAAGGTCTTTTACTGCCTTATTAGTATTTCCCAGTGCTATTTGCTTTTCTATTTAAAAGTTTGTGTTAAATTTGAGACCCTATTTCCGAAAATATACCAAAATCATGCATATTTTCCCCAAGATAAAGGCTGAGGCCCCTTCCCCAGAAATGGTGTTTTGGCCCTGCAGTGATGTGATCATTATTCCTATAAAGTTGGTTGATTCTAACTCAAGCACTCGTGGAACAAATAACACTACATAATGGAACAGTTTTCACTAAGTCAAGGGCAATAAATCTGACAAAACAGAATAAATCCACAAGTGAAACCCCAGGTGCACAACTTCACATGCTGAGCAACATTCCTGTAAAGTTTCATGACACTAGAACAAATACTTAAGAGTTACGTGCGACACAAGTTGAAAATCGTAAATTTTTACAAAGTCAAGGGCAATAACTCTAAAAATACTAAACATTTGCATATGGAAATACCCAGGTGCACAACTTCACATGCTGATCAACATTCCTGTAAAGTTTCATGACTCTAGGTTAAATACTTTTTGAGCTTCATGTGACACAAGTTGAAAATTGCAAATATTTACTTAGCCAAGGGCAATAACTCTAACAAAACAGAATAAAGCCACAAGTGAAGCCCCAGGTGCACAACTACACATGCTGAGCAACATTCCTGTAAGTTTTCATGACACTAGGTAAAATGCTTTTTGAGTTACGTGCGACACAATTTGAAAATTGTAAATTTTTACTAAGTCAGGGGCAATAACTCTAAAAATACTAAATATATCCACACGAAAATACCCAGTTCTATAAAGTTTCAAGACTCTAGGTCAAACACTTTTTGAGCTAAAGAGAATGGACGAACAGACAGGACGGACAAGGGTAAATCTAAATGCCACCCCCCCCCCTAAAGTGGGGGCCCAAAACTCCTCAAAACTGAATTTTGATAGCATTTGGACAAAGAAAGGATTACTGTGTGCATCAAAATGCTATACATTACATCATTACGTAGTGTGACCTCAATTTTTGCATATGCAGTGCTGAATATGTCACCACAGAGTTGATACATGTAACATTGTATGAGTGCATTTGGAATATATTTATAATTTGCATACTCTCCCATCTCCATGACTAATGTAAACCTGGCTTTGTTGCTAAAAGAAAAGATTGCCACATGCAAATGATGTTGTGCTCATAGCAATCTGGTTGCAAGATGATGTGCTAGATCATTTTATTGTTGTTGTTGTGGGTTTTAAATCACATCAACACAGTATAGGTCTAATGTGACTTTCCAGCTTTACTGGTAGAGGAAGACCTCAGGTGCCCTCCTGTGCATTATGATTGATTACAGTCGAGACTGTCATATGTGACTTTCCAAGGGACCTTCAGAAAAAGGTCGCATATGACAGGGAGTCTCTTAATACAGTCTCAATATCATCTAACTGTCTATATACCAATGTGACTTAAAGAACCTTGATATTGTTACTGTGATCACCTATCTTGCAAAAAATATATATGGATATAATTATGCAAATAAAACCATTTTCAAACATCAAAGAATATGTAAAATGTTTATTGCAAATATTTGTGCACATTATATTTAATCAATAAATTACATGCACTGATTTCTTATCGGAAAATTTGACTTAGAATTTATAGAAAATAAAGTTCTAATTACCTCCCTTTAATGGCCTTTATTTACATGAAATGTTAAATTGGGTGATATCTTTCTAAATTATGCTTATTTGAACTTACAATATTGACAAATCTTAATTTGAGCATCATATTTATGAAATAAAACCGTGAAAAAATTGTGTTACAGGATCTTTACTGTAAACATATCCATATCCAAAGCTTTTTCTGGTTTGGTATCAATATTTTTTCCGTATTAATTATGCAGCCATAGAAAGGTAAATTAAAAAAATGCTGCCTAAAAAATCTTCCATGGGCACTCTATAATTAAAAAAAAATCTAACCCAGTTTACTCAGGTAGTACATTACACACACATGATTCCCATGAACCGACGCTACGTCACTTGGTACCTTCATGCTAACTGTGTAATTGAGATAGAGGTGTGTAGACTTTGTTTGCTACAGTGCTGGATTATAATTGGACTTAATTAATTTGGCCCTCTGGGTGTTATAATAGGTAATCTTTATCTGATTAACGGACAATTAAAAGGTGTGAAAGTCGTTTAAATCAGACAAAACATTGCATTGGGACCAGACAATTAGGGTCGCTTGTCACATATGACAGGGAGTCGTTTAATTCAGACCATTTATATAGGAAAATACGTTGGGAGTACTGAAACAAGGTCGGATAAGACAGGGAGTCGTTTAAATCAGGGGGTCGCTTAGGCAGTCTCGACTGTATTTTCAGAGGAGAACCACTGACATTCCACAAGATAGCTGCATAGCTTCCTCACATGAAATAATCCAGTCCCTGTAAGGATTCAAACCTACAGCAGTGAAGGACAAGTTGTTTCTAGTCAACATTGGCCTTAACCACTTTACTAGGGACGCCCCTTATAAACGGGTCATTTTGAAAAGCAGTTGCATAATTTTCAATGCTAATGACAATATACGTTATAACAAGAACCATGTTAACATGGCCATTCCCCGTCAAACTCAAAAATTATAAAGGGAAGAGTTATCATTCTTGTGCACAGCATTCCACCTCAATAAGATATATCCACCTATGAAGTTTAATGTTGACATCTCAAAGACTTTTTGAGATATGTTCCACTCATGTGAAAAGTTAAGTATGAAAAATAACAAAGGGCAATAACTCAAAAAATATGAAGGGTAGAGTTATCATTCTTGTGCACTGAACACCCCCTGAGTGAGATCTATCCACCTATGAAGTTTCATGTTCATATCATAAAGGCTTTTTGAGTTATGCTTTGGACAAAAATTCAGTTTGAAAAATAACAAAGGGCAATAACTGAAAAATTATGCAGGGTTGAGTTATCATTCTTGTGCACCCATTCCTCCTCAATGAGATCTATCCACCTATGAAGTTTCAAGTTGATACCTCAAATACTTTTTGAGATATGCTCCATAAAAAAATGTCAGACGGACGGAGACTATTTCTATATCCCCTGCCGCCTTTCATACTTTACAGTCAGTACTGCAGTTCTACCGAGCTTTCCAGTATAAACACACAATCTCCCCTTATAAGTGAACAGTTCAATACCGTGACATACTGCTCCATCATATTGAAATACGTCCTTGGTTTCTAATTGCCCATGGGTGCTGAGAACAATTTGAGATTTGACTTTGTGCTTTATACAACACCCGGACGAAGGACGTCAAAGGGTGAGGAGATGTGCAGTCTGACGGGGACTTGAACCTAGGACCCTCGGAATACTGTTATAACTTATGTGGCTCTACCGACTTGGCTATCCTGCTGCTTACACACTATCTCGCCTAAACTAGTAACTGGTGAACAGTTCAATACCGTCACACATGTATCGATATATTTACAAGAATAAACTTACTAAGTGTAAAGTTTTCATTTTTGGTCAGTGTCATTTAAAAATAGATTACAACCACACACATGAAAAAATAACCGATACATTGTGAATCCATTTCGTATATATACTATACCTGCAATGACAAAAGATCCTACACATGAGATGAACCCTGACAGGAAGGAATTGAAGGGGAAAGTTCCAACCAATGCACAGTAGCAGAACTGAAATACTCCCGTCAGGAAAATGTAAAACAAGTATGCGTCAACTATTTTAAGTCTTTTTGGAGTACTGTTTATATACTCGTCATAAAATTTGAAAATGACGCCCGTAAGCTTTTCTGGCATTGTTAAATGTAGTTGTATCTTGCAGTCGAATAGCAAAGTTGAACGTGGCAGATTCCCGGAAGTGGACACCGATGGCTGGTTCTCAGCAGTTTATGTTTTTATCAGAGTTTAGGAACCAGTTAAATTGATAGTTTTTTGCTATTAATGCAGCATATCGGAATAAAATTAAATATAAATATATATTTTACTTGAAAACCATCATTTCTAATAACTAGTTTGACTTTTTCCCCTAACAAACAAAAAACATCAAGCAACCACGCATAACGTTGTTTTAGAACATGTGACTTTGTCTGGTGTACAAGGATAGTCACGTGACATTGAATACCGCCATCTTGTATACAAAATGTGAATATATGTTTAAGAAACTATATCTTGTTGCTATGGTAAGATAATAATTCGCAACTTTTCACCTATGATTCAATAGAAATAAGTTTTACTACGATATGGAATGTACATGCAGTCATTTAGCTCTAATTTAATAGCGCAAAACATTCCAGAATCTTGAGCGCAGTGTATGTCCCTTTCGTATAAAAATTATGTGAACAGTTTGGCGGCAACGAATCAATTCAGTTGGCAAGAAAGTTGAATAAACTTTTGTATATACAGGTTTCTTGTGGATTGAAAGAGATATTCAATTGACGATTTAACTGCACGGGATACGCAAGCTTAAAATATGTAATTGGGTTTTTTGTTCAAACATGGAAAGGCAATGTCACGTGACTGATTAGCATATATCGGAACCACGTGTGTACATTGGCGTAGCCGCGTGGAGATGGTTTATGATATTGATGTCACCCTTTCAGCATTTTTTCCCACACCAGAGTTCGATGTCAAATTTGATTTAAACGATTTTGATTGTTAAGCTGTTATTTCAAAGGTAACAAACAAGTTACCAAAGTTAAGTTATTAAGTATCAGAGCCCCACCAGGCACTCTTGGACCTTCTACTACCCAAATATCATATTACCCACATAAACGACCCCCCCCCCAATAAAAAAAACAATGTTAACATTCAAAATAGTGTAAATGTCATTACGAAATAAAACAAACAAATATATATATAACTATAATATAAGCAAGTATATATGATATACCTGAGATGCTTACTTTTAGAGTTATTCCCCTTCATTTTATGTACTTGAAAAACTGTACATGATGGATGTTTTTTCAAATTTAATGCGCTGACATCATATTATCAAGCACATTGGAAGGGATTGCAGTGTGCAAGAACAGTAATTCGGCCTTGCCTACTATTACAGTTATTCCCCTTTATCAGATTTACTTGAAAAACTTTGTCTGAAGTATTATTCCTAAAGTACATTGTACTTAAGAGATTTTCTACAAATTTAATTCAGTACACAGACATAGCACATTGACTGGAAGTACAATGTGGTAGAACAATAACTCTACTTTGCCTCCTTTAGAGTTATTCCCCTTTGTCAGATTTACTTTAAAAGTTATGTCCAGAGCATAACTCCAAAAGTACTTTAGTAATTGTCTTCAAGCATATGATACACTGACATTGATAAAACAAAGAAAAAATAAATATTTGGTAGTAAGATTATGATTTAAACTAAAGTATTTAGTTTATTTTTTACTTGCAAACTGGTATCTAAAAACTTAACTGATGATTATGAAACTTCACACACTTGCATGAGAGCATAATATAAAGTCGCTGTCCAAGGCCCATAACTCTGATATGATTTTGACAGAGTTATAACCTTTTTTGAACATAAAAGTTTTTTTTACATTTTTCAGGCTCTTGCTAAGAATTGTCAAACAGACTGTCATAATGACAGCTCTTCTGTGTTGATATTTTTTCTTGAGCAATCTCCCTATCAATTTCATAATTCATTGGATGTATAACTTTAAAAATCTACTCCACTGAACTGACAAACTTCTACCACAGATTTTCCTGGAGCAAACACAGCCATTGTCTATAATTATTATGTCGCCCAAAATTTTTGGGAGACATATTGTTCTTGCCTTCGCTGTCTGTCTGTCCATGCGCATTGAGCTTGTCCACCCTTCACAGGTCAAACTACTAGTGGGATTTCATCCAAACTTTACAGGAGTGATCAGTACCATCCCTAGTTGTGCACATCACCGGCACGTTCTGCTTCGCTGCACAAAATGGCCACCAGAGCTAAAAATAGAAAAATCTTGTCCGCCCTTCACAGGTCAAACTACTGGTGGAATTTCAACCAAATGTTACAGGAGTGATCAGTACCATCCCTAGTTGTGCACATTACCGGCATGTTCTGCTTCGCTGCACAAAATGGCCACCAGAGCTAAAAATAGAAAATCTTATCCGCCCTTCACAGGTCAAATTACTGGTGGGATTTCAACCAAACTTTACAGGAGTGATCAGTACCATCCCTGGTTGTGCACATCACAGGCACGTTATGCTTCGCAGACAAAATGGCCACCAGAGCTTAAAATAGATAAATCTTGTCCAGCCTTCACGGGTCAAACTACTGGTGGAATTTCACCAAACTTTACAGGAGTGATCAGTACTATCCCTAGTTGTGCATGTTACCTGAATGTTCTGCTTTGCTGCACAAAATGACCGTCATCTTGTCTGGCTTTCACAGGTCAAGCTAGTGGTGGGATTTCAATAAAACTTCACATGAGTGACCATACATAGTTTTGGGAGACATATGTTTTTGTGACAAAAACCCTTCTAGTTAACCATTGTCTTTTAAAGCCTTTATAGTCAGGTGAGCCATATAAGGGCTGTCATGGCTCTGCAGGATTAGTTATGCTCCTTTTAATTTGAAAAATATCCTGAAATTTACATTTACTGTAAAAATTTGCAAGTGGCCAAGTTTTGTAAATCTTAAATTTATGCATTTCAACATGGTTATGCCTCTTTATAAACTTCAAATTGCTTTTGTTTGTTCTGGTATAAATTGACACAATCAAGGGCTATTGTTGCCTGTTCAAACTTGATTTGGCAATCAAAATTTATCAATATTATTGATATTATTACAAAAATCTTATTCCCTTTTAAATAATATTCATTTTTCCTAGAATTGTAGTTCCACTTACATATGTATACTAAAACCCAGAAGTATTAAGTTTAAAAGTGTTTATCAGATTATTGCTAATTGTATGTTATGTATATATTTTAGATACAGAAAGACGAGGGGAGAAATGTGATTATCATGGTTACAACAGGATGACTGGAAAATGGCAGACAACCAACCAGATCTGGTCATAGATGAGTCTAGACAAAGTGTTGAGAGCTCACATGATGAATCTCAACAAAATCTCATTCCAACTAAAGGAGAGGTCATCTCAGATGATCAAGAGCTGTTTCTCAAAGTTTTGGAAAACTTAAAAAATGCTGTTACAAAGCCAGAGAGCCATGTTGCTTTACAGAGGAGACCAGCAACATATCCGGGAGAAACAAGCACCAATTCCAATTCCTTAAATTTAGTTGCACAAATTTCTGAAAATGAATCTCAAAATTATATTATAAGATCTGATGTTACTGAGCCGGGAACCACTACGGTTACTGTATCTGACATTACAAAATCTCGTATTCTACAGAAACTAGCTTGTGAGAAAACTGTTAATTCTGTCGAGAAGCAATCTGATGAACACACTAGTTTACCTGTAATAACACCTTTACATGTAAATGTTTCAAAGAAAGAAAGTGCCAGTAGTTCAAACTTTGGAAGAGTTACAAGTGAAAATGATGGACTAGTGCAGAAGTCACTGTATTCCGAAAGAGCTGTTTCTTTTGTAAAGACAAGTTTGTTAAAACCAAGCGAAAAGTTGGAGAGAGGAAGCCAAAAACAGAATAGCCCATCTGTGCAACTTTATCCATGTAATTACTGTGACTATTACAGTGATAACAAAAGTTATCTCAAACAGCATGTAGATTTCGTGCATATTTCTGATCGTCCATTCAAATGTCCATATTGTGAATATGCCGGAAAGAGAAGTCATGCTCTCCGTGAACACTTGATTGTACATACAGATGAGCGGCCATTTCAATGTACAGTTTGTAAAGCAACATTCAGAAAGAAAGGTCATTTAACCAATCATGTGAAACTTCATAATTCTAAAAGGCTTGTGAAATGTCCATTGTGCAAAGCTCTTGTTTATGATACGGGTGAAAACGGACTAGACGCTCACCTGAAGAATGACCATGATACAGAAAGGTTATACGGATGTGATCTATGCGAGCATATTGCGGCAAATGAACCAGATATTATAAAACATTTACGACAGACTCATAAAACTAAAATTGTCTCACACAAATGTGACAAATGCCCATATGAAACAGCAAATAGTGTTGATTTTATTGCGCATGAAAATGCTCATAAGATGGCTGAAAATAAGGTACATATTGGAGAAAATGCACCTACCAGTGTGCTTGGAGTTGCTACATTTATGAAAGGTTCTGAACACATGGGAGCTGCAAATACTATTGTTAAAATGAATATTGGAGAATCAAATCCAACAACTGTGCCAAAGCAGCCAGCAGTCATTAAACCTGTATGGATAAAATGTTCAGAGTGTGGATTTACTGGTCAAGATTCTGAAGTAATTCGTACTCATATGCTTGAACATCTGAAAGAACAAGGCCTTGAGGTCATACCAGAGAGTCATATACCAGTCACATCATCCAGCAGTGTCAGAGAACAAATTGTTACATGTACCACAGAGCCAAAACAGACTGTAACTGAGTTACCCAACAGGTCTGAAAGTAATACTAACTCCCAACAAACACCAATTCTAGTGCCTGTGACGAATATGGATTTCTTGCAAAAACATGCAAGCAGTTTAGACATGACCTCGCCAATACTAGTACCAGTAACTGATACGGAAATGCTGAAGAGATTACAGCAATCTGCCATTCAGCATATTGGTGCAAAATCTAATGCCATAACAGTGGTTGCTCAAAATAATTCACAAATGCCAAAGTCAACAGCCACTGCTACAAGTGCAAGTGAAATATTGAAACAGAAAAACTTGCTTGCATTTCCTGGAGATAAAGAATTCAAGTCAGTCACTCGCCTAACCACACCCTCTAAGCCTTTTCTAATTGTCTCCAAGGCTAATAATGTTCCTGAAAGGGCAGCAGGAACCTTTTCATCTCAGAGTATTGAACAAATAGTACAAAACTCAAGTGTTAAGGTAATACCAATGTCAAATACTATCAGTATGACTTCTTCTGTTAGACCATCCATACCTATAATTACATCTAGCACTGTGCCATTAATTACATCATCTTCTCATTCGTCATCCTTGGTGCAGGGAATGAAAGATGATAGCTTACTTGTTCCAGGGCAGCAGCAACACGTACAGCCTATTACCTTGACCCAGATCCCTATACCAAGAACAGATGCTCCCACTTCACCTCCCAAATTACCCCCAGAATTAATAAACACAAAGACTCCTTTTGATGAAGCTCCTGGTGCTAAAAAGCCTGAAATAGTGAAAGTGCCAATCCAAGGTGCTAATGTATCAACAAATGAAGAGAAACTTCTTTCTCTGAAAGAGAGTTTAGCAAATGTACAACGTCTTATTGAACAACAGGAGAAAATAAGCAAACGCATTGGTGGCGGTTCCCTAGTGAAGGATGTTGTCAGTGGTAAGTCTGGTGGTAAAAATGTTATTTTCTATGTTGAACCTGTCTCCAATCAAAATTTGCCTGTGAAATCATCTGTCAGCTCTGAATTTACACATGACAGTACTGTAGGTAAATTTAAGTGTACACTCTGTGGATACTGCTGTGACCAACAAAGAACTATAAAAGCACATATTTGGAAGCACTCGGGCAACAAGAACATTGACTATCCCATGTTTCAAAATGGGCCTCTTAGTGTGTATGATGATGAGTTACCTACTAAAGTTGAAAGAAATGAGAATATTATTGAAATTATAACATCTTCAAGTGAAGTAAGCAGCAAACCACCTGTGACCCAAATTCCACAGTTGATTAAAAGTGTTGCAGATGTTGAGCCTGCTAAAGTACCACCATTCATTGTTTACGAAAACACTAAAATAAGTAACGTTGCTCCAGCTTTAGCCCACCTCATTGCTGCAAGAACCATGGCAGGTATGAAGAAAAAGGACAGTGATATTGATTCAACTTCAGTAGAAAATTCTGTGTCTGAAGATCTAACTGATGTTGATACACAAGAAAGGAACAACTGTGATCAGATTGGCCACAATGACAAAGAAAATAAGCCTGTATCGTCTGATTCTGTTGGTCATCTTAAAAGTATTATACCTACTTCTGTACCAGACACAGTGCCTAGAGTTTCACAAAATGTGGTTGTGGAATCAATAGTGGATGTCTCCACAAGTGCTGGATATACCGGTTATACTGGGTTACAGAGTCAGCAGAACAGTCCACGAGTGGGTGCTAGGTCACCTGATTCTGGTATCACAGAGATGACTGTCAAGACGGCAGATGATGCTACTAGTGGAATGTCCAGTGAGTTGATATCGCCTGTTTCAAATGCTGAAAATGTTAATTTTGAAATGGGCACATTGAGAAGTGGGAGAAAACGTGGTGTACCGCAACAATCGTTGAATATTGATACAGATGACAATACGGACAACCTTGAGGACTCATTTCAAGCCTCATCATCAAAGAGAGTGAAAGTTTTACACGCACATGAAGATTCTGCAGTAACATTACTCTCCCTTCTGAAGAAAGGTCCTAACTTTAACCCAGCATGTCCTCCCATGACAACTCCGGTTGCTCAGCAACCATTACCTGATTACTCTAATGTATCATCTCCAGGGCAGGATGATTCCAATAGTATTGGAGAATCAGAAATGAGTGGATCAAAACCAAAGTCAGGAATATCTACATCTCTGTTAGCAGTAATAGAACAACTTCGGGAACGCTCTAAATCTGATGCTGATGATGATAAACCAGTTCCCCCACAACCTCCTCCAAAGAAAATGTCAAAACGGCGCAGCAGGAAAAGTTCACAGGAAGACAATACACCTGCCTCAGGTATTGAAAATGTTGAAGAGTTTTTTATTGACGGTGAAGTTAGATTCAGGTGCAAACTTTGTCATTATACAAATGAAAGCACGGTTCTTTTACGTCAGCATATGAGATTACACAAACCGAAACAGGAGTTTGAATGTTCCCTGTGTGATCTGATTGCAGAATCAAGTGAAGCATTACAAGATCACATGATTCAACATTGTAAAGTTAGAACTTACCAGTGTAAGTTATGTAACTCTACGTTCAATTATAAAAGTCAGTTGCGTGCACATATGCGTATGCACAATGATCAGGACATTTTATTTTGCGATTATTGTGACTTTGAAACTCGAAATTTATCAGGTATGAAATTGCATATGAAAAGTCATTTAACAAAGCCACCATATAAATGTGACAGTTGTCAGGAAGATTTTGTTTCGAGCTACAATCTTAGAATTCATAAACGTGATGGTTGCAACTCTAGTGCTGATAAAAGTAATACGAGTTTTAAGTGTGATGAATGTGACTTTGTGTTTTTTGGTCGTCGGGAAATGAAAAACCATCAACGTCTACATATGGGTAGAAGTAAGTCAGTTTTTCCTATTCGCTGCCCATACTGTGAACATTCTGACTCGAGTATCGAAAACGTTCAAAAGCATGTTGCTGAAGTTCATGGAGAATCAAAACCATTACGGTGTGACATGTGTGGGTTTTTTGCAGTGTCAATTAGAAGCCTTAAGTCTCATATGAAACGTCATGTTAATGATCAAAGATTTGTTGCCCAGCCACTGGAACAGTATAAATGTAATCTATGTGGCTATGTTTGTCATCATTTACCGTCATTAAAATCACATATGTGGCGCCATGCTGCTGACCAGCATTACAGTTACGAGTTCACAAATGATGTCATTAATGCTGCCATTGACTTTGATGGTCAGACCGATGTTTCAGAAACAACTAAAGATCACGTTGACAAATTTAAAGTGCTTATATTTGATAAAATGAAAGCTAAGGGACTCGAAAATACTCACCCCACACTTGATGAAAGTGCCATGGCGTGCTGTTGGGTAACTTTCCGTTGTTGTCAGTGCGGGTTTGAAACTATTAATAAGGCAGAACTTAATATGCATATGAGCGATCACAGTGATGTGATTAAGATGACACTAGAGATTGGCGATCAGACGGTCATTATCGATAACCAGGGTAACGAAGTCGAGGTTTCGTGAATATTCATGACATAAATTTGTTAGACTTTACCAGTAGTTGAACAGTTATAGATTGTTGTATTTTATTTTTTATTCCTTTTTTTTTATTCTCATGTTAAAATTTAATTTACAACCTTAATAAAAGGTTTAGTTAGAATATAAAGACTACAGTGTATATGTATCAGATATTCACTTTTAGTTATACAATTGTTAATGGTGAATTATTAATCTAATGGTAAAGTAAGCATTCTATTAGATGTGTACAATCTGCAAGAAAATGATTCCTTCATTACATTACAATTATATACAAACAACAATTCTTCCTTTCTGTATTTATAATTGTTTTCAGTGATTTTGTTTATATCTTAAAAAAAATTTAAATTATTTTTTAAGTAAGTTACTTATTTTGGTTAAACAAAACAAAACTTAGGCAACTGTTTATTTCAAATAATGCAGAAATGCTTGTTAATGACAGGAACACTTAGGATACAAAATTACAACAATGTTAATGTTAAAATGATATTTTAAGACCTATTCTTAAAGCAGCATGGCTCCAGATTCATGCCAATTTTCATGAAAATTTTGAAAATGTTTTAAAAAGTAAAAAAAAATCAAGTGATGTTACAGTAAGAAAAGTAATTTACATATTTGCAAATGGCACTTTCAGTCCAACTAAATTGCAAAATAAATTTTAAAATATGCAAAAAAGCCGTATGTTTGTCATGCATTAGAAATGATAAATTCTGCAAAATCAGTCATTCATTCCATATAACATGTAGATTTTTACTTGAATGGAAAATATGTTTACTTTGATACTTTTCTTAAAATCTTAGTACGTGGTAGATGGGTTAAAAAAAAATAATTTTTTTTTGCTCATCTGGAGGCATGCAGCTTTAATGAACATTACATTATTATTCATGTCTTTACAAACAATTATGGTTGTGCTGCAATTCAATTATTTTTTTACCCTGCATGTCAGTGATTTTCCTGCTTATATATAACTCTGATAAAGGGCTTCTTCCCATCATGCAGTTTTCCCGAAAATCTGAACTTAAACCTCCTTTTTTTACTTCCCAAATTAGGAATATTTAAGCGATAATTTTTCCCAAAATCAAGAGGCTAAAGCCTTTTCTCAGTTATGTGAGAAAAATCACTCTATTGAAAAAGTACATAATTATATTTGATTACTATTTCTCATGCATTTATACAGCTTATTATTATATCTATATTAAATTTGACATTTCATTATATACGGTTAAATGAACATAACTATGTAATATGTAACAATTAAACAGCTGACTTTTATAAACATATATTTACCATTTTTACATATATACATGTACTTTAATGATCTGATAATGTCCCTCTGTCTGAATAGAAAAGGAAGTACTTAGTCAAGTGTATTTTCACTAGCTTTCAATGATTCTATCTATCGGGGAAAATAAGTGAAATGGAAAAGAAAAAAGATCTTTCATTGATTATATTGAAAGTAAAAAGTGATAAGAATATTTTCAGTCGGTAGTTTCTAACTTGTCTAGAAAGTAATTACTTAGAAAAAAGTAAAAGGTGTATTTTCAACTGATCTTGGTCTGCACTGGTGACATGGGTAGACTAAGTTGCCACTTGCAATTAGAAGGATAAAGAAATTTGTCATAGATAAGAAGCCATACCTGTGCATTATTAGTATTTTGAATTTAATTTGTTTTGTTTTTTTTTTTTTAAATCTAGCCGAGTAAGGTTAATTTTTGAGGTTATCACTTAATTTTCAGAGAAAAAATTGCCTTAATCTTTTGCTTCAAGATTTATTACAAGTTAAAAGTGTAATACCAATTGTTATTGTTAAAATATATTTTAAAACAATTTTCAAAAAAAGTTTTCCAGTTTTGTTTTCTTTTCTGTATTTTTTTAAAAATTTGTTTTATGATAATTAATTGTATTTATATTCATAGAAATCAATAATAAAAATTGGTGTTTTTACATCATTCTATTTTTTAGGACAAAACAGGGTACTAGTAGTTTAAAAAGTGTGACAAAATATCAGCAGACCCCTTAATGAATATTTTAACTTCATTGATGTTTTTTGTTAAAGTGTTATCATTTTCAGTATATGTATATTAAGTTTTGGCAATTCATGTGCTGGTATACATGTAGTTTTAAGTAAGCCATAAAGTTATCACAGTAATTTTTTTTACATCTTTAAGGCCATTGGACTTTCAATATTGATGCAAAGTTATAAAAAAAAAAATATTGACAATTTTCTTTTATTTATATAAAATAGGGTTATTTTGACTTGTCTGCATAAGAGTGAAATTTATTGGATCAAGATTGCTGTAAAATGTGATACCTTGAAAAAATCAACAATATCCTAATACAGACCAAAAGGTCGTACAAGAAAGTATTCTTTCTGCAATCATATACTCTGTGACCATTTTATAACACACCTTAATATAACCATTGAATAATTAAAATTAAACAGTTTCCAGTAATGGTCATATTTAAGAGAATCACACTTTTGTGTTATACCTATTATTGTTTCTATTTTTTTTTATTTTTTTTTTTTACAAAATGAATATATATAGCAAAATATACTAGAATTACAAGTGTACAATTCCTAATCTTTAATGTTAACAGCATGCGATTATTCAGAACTAGTTTTACAATGTCATGTATGTTTTCAGTGTTTGGATAGAGATCTGCTCATTTTACCTTATATTACTTAACAGTTTTGATGACTAAAAAAAGTGTTATTATGAACTTATTTAAACCTATGGAAACCAAATGTTAAAAGTGCCCTATTTGAGGGCCTTTTTAAAAGGGAAACCCTTTCTAAAACCCTTGGCTAAAACCAAATTCAATCCCGGGGTATAGGGTTTTAAATTAAAAAAAATTTTGGGGGTATTTTTTTTTTTCAAAATTCTTTCTTTATTAATCATATATTCGGGTTGGAGGAAATTTGTCAATTTATGTAACAATCATAATGTTATATTGTTAGATTACTACAGATTTGAGTTAGATGTAAAGATAATTAGCAATAGATTAAATTGTAAAGTAACATGCAAATTGAATGATGAAAAATGATAGTCTCATAAATAACAAATGGAAAAAACAATATTATCTAATCAAATTTTTTTTAACATTGTTAATTTGGATAATAAAATATAGTAAATTTACTTTGGTTATCAATTACACGTCTCTTGAATGAATGATGCCATATTGAGATGTGTGGATTTTTTTATTAAAACACAATCTGACTAAATTATAGATCTTTTTAGCTCATCTGTCACAAAGTGACAGGGTGTGCTTTTGTGATCGCTTTTCGTCCGGCGTCAGTCTGACCGGCGTCCGTCCGTCCGTAAACTTTTACTTTAAATGACATCTCTTCATAATCCACTAAGCCAATTTCATCCAAACTTCCTAGGAATGTTCCTTTGGTGGCCACCTTTAAAAATTGTTCAAAGAACTTAATTCCATGCAGAACTCTGGTTGCCATGGCAACCAAAAGAAAAAACTTTACAAATCCTGTTTTAAAAAACACAAAGAGCTAGAGCTTAGATATTTGGCATGAAACATCTTCTAGTGAGTGTCTACCAAGTTCGTTCAAATAAAAGCCCTGGGGTCAAAATTGGCCCCGCCCCAGGGGTCATTGATTTTCCCTATATGCATAAAGTAAAAACTTTAAAAATCTTCTTTTAAAGAACCCAAAGAGCTAGAGCTAAGATATTTAGCATGAAACATCTTCTCATGAGTGTATACCAAGTTTGTTCAAATAAAAGCCCTTGGGTCAAAATTGGCCCCGCCCCAGGGGGTCATTGATTTTCTTTATATGCATATAGTAAAAACTTAAAAAATCTTTTTTAAAGAACTCAAAAAGCTAGAGCTAAAATATTTAGCATGAAACATGTTCTAATGGGTGTCTACCAAGTTTGTTCAAATAAAAGCCCTGGGGGTCAATATTGGCCCTGCCCCGGGGGTCAGTGATTTTCCTTATATGTGTATAGCAAAAACTTAAAACATCTTCCTCGAAAAAACCCAAATAGCTACAGTTTAGATATTAAGCATGAAACATCTTCTAGTAAGTGTCTACAAAGTTTGTTCAAATAAAAGCCCTGGGGTCAAAACTGGCCCCGCCCCAGGGGTGTCATTGTTTTTAACTATATGTGTATAGTAAAAACTTAAAAAATCTTCTTTTAAAAAAACCAATGAGCTAGAGCTTAGATGTTAAGCATGAAACATCTTCTTATAGGTGTCTACCAAGTTTTTTCAAATAAAAGCCCTTGGGTTAAAATTATAGTCCCTCGTCTTTTTTGAATAAAGAAGGGGGATAATAGAAATGGCCCCATTTATATCCATCAGTCTGTCCAGCTGTCACACTTCATATCTGATCCATAACTCTTCCATTCTTGAATTTCTTCAAGTGATTTTTGAAATAATTTGGCAAAAATGTTCTTCATGATACAGACATATGCAACACCCAGACCCCTAACTCCAAGGTCAAGGTCAAACCTTAATATGGGGAAGATCTTGCTCTTAAAGTCCTGAAACCATACCAGATAATACTGTTATGTGCTCCATGTGATACTTTACTTGGGGTGGGGGACATTGGTACCTCAAATTCTTGTTTTGTAAAGCATCTAACTTGTTGATGTACAGATATATGACTCTTGTATGATAACTTTATTGTTATTTCTACCAATATCTGACAAATTTCTGGACTTGCCCACTTTTTTTCTTCTTTTTTTTATCATCAAAAAATGAAATATACCTGCTCAATCAACCATTTTTGTTCTTTTCAGATACTAGTATGCTTAATTATTTACCTGCTATAAAAGTTTAACTTTAACTATCAATATTTTTTTTCAAACAAGATGATAAACCTTATTTTTTATTTGTGCCAAAAATATGATAAAGTTTGATAATGTAAAGTTTATAGATGGTTTTTGATACATTGTCATTTATACATGTGTACATCTAATTGCTTAACTAGTTCTCCCCATAATCCTTGTTCTGTTATTTACATTAAAAGCATATACTGTTGCTCGCTGACTTAATGTTAGAAAATGCTGTAATAAGAGGTCCAAACTTTGTTTTTATGTGACCATTTCCTATTACAGACATTTTTATCTTTTGTCACAAACCTCAGAATCAAAACTTATTACAATGTTCTTAGAATTAAAACAATGACATTGTCAAATTTAAAACAAACTTGTATTGCCTCATTAATCATCATTTGATCTTGACACTGCTGGGTTTTTTTTCTAGTATACACATTGTACAAAGAATTTCGAATTTTGATCTTGCTCCATTGGTTGTGAATGTTTTTTACATGACTTTGTATACATGAAGTTTTCTTTACATCTAGGAGCCTTTGAACTCAAATGTTTGAAGAAAAGTTAGGCTACTCTAGTCACCCCATTGTTAGTGCCTGAATTTACTTTACACTTAGTTAAGGTTTTTATTTGATACATGACTCCTCATTACTCTTGTAAGTGTTCACTTGAAAATTTAAAACATTAATTAGGGATATGTTCAATGATTGTTGGTCACTGTCCAAGACCCATAACTCAAGCATGAAACTTCATACTTCACTTACCTTTAGTAGGATTGTCTAGAAACTTAAGGTCTGTCTTTGGATTCACAGTTTTATGTCACTGACCAATAATGGCTGGCCCCTGTTCAGAAACCATAACCCAAGCTTGAATTTTTTGCTGAATTATTTCCCTTTGTTAATATAGAAATCCTGTATATTCTATGATTGATTATGAAGCTTTCAGGATAATCAAGCCTGCTGGCCAACTGAAAGTTCTTTTTATATTGCTGTCTTCCTTCAGGTATAGGCATATATCATTACTGATGCTAGTATTGAGAAAATTAATGAATGTACATGATATAACATGTGTATGTGGATAAATGTTTTGTTCAAATAGCCCATCCTGCCATTTTATAGTTCAGTATTTTTGTTATGTATTATTTTGAAGTGTATTTGTTCTTAATCTCCTGTATTACTGGTTTGATTAAACTAGACTTTTAATAGTGCTACCATTGTGTTTGTTCACTTTTTTATGGTTGACTGTATTATTAAAACACATAATATGAGCCGCGTCATGACAAAAACAACATAGTGTGTTTGGGACCAGCATGTATCCAGACCAGCCTACATCTGCGCAGTCTGATCAGGATCCATGCTGTTCGCTTACCAACTCTATTTCGAGTAGAGAAACTGATAGCAACAGCATGGATCCTGATCAGATTGCGCGGATCCATGCTGGTCGCAATCGCACTATGTTGGTTTTGTCATGGCGCGGCTCATATATTGGAGAAAGCTTATTAGCTTCTTTAAAGACATAAATACCCAAATGAATTTCAGATGTCCCATTAATTAAACATTAATTATGCGCATTAATTAAACATTAATTATGCGTGTTTGTCATTAAACTATTTTGAGTCGATTTTATGGAACTAAACGGCAATGGTGTCATAGTAGGGGATAAGGTGATTATGGTCGATATGTCGGTTATATGATTTGTGACGGTCTAACGTACCATAATATGGCAAAAAAATGTTGACAGAATTTTCTTGAGCCATTTATATGATTATGACATGTATATGGCTCGAACCTATAATCCCTGTGTAGAGGGATATATATTCATAGCCGTCAAAACTTGTCTGACAATGATTTTACATGTAAGCGATATATTATGGCCATTCATGGCTGTCTTGTTAACTGAACTGTGAGTAGGCCCAGAATTGTTACTGCTCTCTTGGTAAATGCACGATAACAATACAAATGTACTAGTAACGTAAAACTAGCTCTCGAGAATAAGGAACGGGAGAAACACAATCATATTAAAATAACATTTTTCTTAAAGGGACTCTACTGAGATTTTTAGCTCACCTGAGCTTGCTCAGGGTGAGCTTTTAGGATCGGTGAATGTCCGTCGTCCGTTGTCCGTCCGGCCGTCCACAATTGCTTGTGAACACTCTAGCGGTCGCATTTTTGCCTCAATCATCATCAAACTTGGTCAGGATGCTTATCTAGTTGAAAGCTCGGATGAGTTCGAACATGGTCATCTCGATGAAAAACTAGGTCACAAGAGCTAAAAATAGAAAAACCTTGTGAACACTCTAGAGGTCACATTTTTGACCCAATCATCATCAAACTTGGTCAGGATGTTTGTCTAGGTGATAGCTCGGATGAGTTCGAACATGGGTCATCTCGGATGAAAAAGTAGGTCACAGGAGCTATAAATAGAAAAAACCTTGTGAACACTCTAGTGGTCACATTTTTGAACCAATCATCATCAAAACTTGGTCAGAATGCTTGTCTAGTCAATTGCTTGGATGAGTTCGAACATGGGTCATCTCTGATGAAAAACTAGGTCACAGGAGCTAAAAATAGAAAAACCTTGTGAACACTCTAGTGGTCACATTTTTGACCCAATCATCATCAAACTTTGTCAGGATGCTTGTTTAGATAATAGCTCAGATGAGTTCGAATATGGGTCATCTCGGATGAAAAACTAGGTCACCGGAGCTATAAATAGAAAAACCTTGTTAACACTTTAGCGGTCACATTTTTGCATCAATCATCATCAAACTTGATCAAGATGCTTGCCTAGGTGATAGCTCGGATGAGTTTCGAACATGGGTCATCTCGGATGAAAAACTAGGTCACAGGAGCTAAAAATAGAAAAACCTTGTTAACACTCTAGTGGTCACAATTTTGACTCAATTGTCATCAAACTTGGTCAGGAAACTTGAATAGGTCATTGCTTGGAATAAATCGAACATGGGACATCTCGGATGAAAAACTAGGTCACATGAGCTAAAAATAGAAAAATCTTGTTAACACTCTAGTGGCTACTGTTGTGATCCAAATATTCTGTTAATTGGTCTGAAAGTTTTTTTTGATGATTTCTAAGTCAAGATCAAACATGGGTCATCTTGGATGAAAAACTAGGTCACATCCGCCCAAATATGGAAAAACCTTGTTAACATTCTAGTGGTCACATTTTCGACTCGATTATCATCAAACTGTTGGTCAGGATGCTTGTCTAGGTAATTGCTTGGATTAGTTCGAAATCGCATGTGAAACTAGGTCACCGGAGCTAAAAATAGAAAAATCTTGTTAACACTCTAGTTGCTACTGTTTTGATCCAAGTATCCTGGAAATTGGTCTGAAAGTTTGTTTTGATGATTTCTAGGTCAAGTTTGAATATGTGTCACCTGGGTAAAAAACTAGGTCGCACTGCTCAAATATGGATAATCCTTGTTAACACTGTAGTGGTCACATTTTTGACTCACCTGTCATGAGACTTGGTCAGAATGCTTGTCTAGGTAATTGTTTGGATGAGTTTGATAATTCAGGTGAGCGATCTAGGGCCATCATGGCCCTCTTGTTTTGACATAACACGACCGATATTTGTGTACCATTTGCTGGAAGTCTGGACCAATAACTTATGTGCAAAGTTTCAGATCAATTCCTCGCACTGTTTTCCTTAATTTATCATTTGTACGAGTATTGTACAAAATGATCCCCCCAAAAAAAGAAAGAAAGAAAAGTTATGCAATGCTTATCACCCAAATAGGGCTAAGAATCTAGAAAAATATTGATATTCGATATATGCTTTATCATCCTTTGAAGAGTTTTCAATTTAAGCGCAACTCTGGATCTACGTAAGAATTTCAAATTTTATGTTTTTAGGCTTTCTGACTGAATTCATCAGTGGAGAACCTTAATTTAAAATATCATGCTAAGTATCGACTGTTGTAAAGTCGATTATAAAAATCGCCTCGTAATTATACTCCATTTAAGAACTTTCTTACACTTGTTCCAAAATTGACCACTTCATGCTGCCCGACTGCCCTTTGGATCATCACGTTCCTCTGCATTATGGTTATTCTTACGTACGTGAACAGTAATTTAGACAATCATGAGTGAAACATGACAATAATTTATATATATGAGCTTTCTTATATACTAGTGCAATGTATGCACATATATTTATCGTGTTGAGTTAATAAACATAAACCGCTAGAAAAACTCAAAGAGTTTATAATCGGTCTTGAACGTAAGCACGAAAACCAAAGAAGATTGTATCTTTCTAGACAAAAAAATGTTCTATACTTCGTTGCATCTATTCATTTGGACTGAGTTTTAATTATTGCTCTTAATTAGTATGTTTACCTAGACAATAAATTAAGAACTTCACAATTATGTGCTAGAATTCAATACAATGTAACGTGTAATTATGTGAAGTGCAGTTAGACGATCACTATACATGTTGTCGTGTTAAGAATACACGAAACACATTTATATATATTCGCAATCGTTATAACATAAATTAAACGAATGCATATTTGACAAAACTTTAATATATTGAAATTCATTTTAGCTGATGTGTTAGGAAATATTCCAAAACATCAGATTATCAAATCGTCATAGTATATAACACATATACAAGTGCTAGAATGAAAAACGATCAAATATATTTTATAATATTTCGATTTCCTTAAATTCCAATGTTAATATTTTAAGCTGTTTGCCTAAATATATTACCTATTTATGATGGAAAATGATTTTCCTATAATTCATGTACGTTACACCAAGGAAAAGTGTCTTTGTCCTACGCCAGATTTTTATTTCGCTTAAAAATTCTTCCGCAACAATGGAAGAAGGTAATGTCAGTCCAAATCAGAGTTACATGGCACTTTTAAAGATATATTGTAATGTGGTGTCAGTCATCTTTTGCATCCTACGTGAATGTTGAAATGATTGTCATGTTTAATATGAAATCCTCGACAGTCGCTTAAACACAGCACTTAAACCATTAACACAAATCTTAAAGCAAATCATCTCTTGAGATATATGTATCGCTAAACAAAGTACCTATCAATAATTGAAATTGTAATTATTTTGCTGAAGGTATACCATAGTCTGTGCATTTGGTGTACTACAAAATATGTATTTATGGATGTCTGTCAACAAGAATTCACTGAAGAATGGTTTGCTTTTTAAAAAGTTACCACGGTAAATGATTTATTCACAAACTGTGGTTTACAGTTCTGTTTCACATACTAGTACACTTTCTGGTGTATTGTTCTTTGATAATCCTTCGGAATGGCCTTTATTCATGAATCTTTTAACAACCCTCAATTTTACCATTGCAGAATTCACGATACTTTTAAACCGTTTGGGTTTCCTTGCGTCAGAAATTAAATTTGTTGGATTGCCATGCATTGGTGACGATAACATGCGCACGTATTCCTTTTTGACGTTTTCAGTAGTTGTATTTTGAATGGTATCCGGGCGAATGGTAAACGATGCATCAGGTATAGCGATTTTGCGTTCATTTACCTCTGCGACTGGACTTTGGTGATGCATACAGGTGTTTATTAGCGGGTCATGTATATCACATGTGCTTTTCTCTACTGTTATTTCTGGAAAAAAGTGTGTATCTTCTTGTTCTCGGCTAGAAACGGAAGACCTATGGCAAATCTCTGGCTCACTCGCGAGGTCCACATCGCTGCTTATCACAGACTCTGAACTTTCTCGTGGGTAGTATGACGTATTGCTATCATTTGAAAATGTCCTGTTTTTGCTTTGTGTTATGACCAAATTATAGCTTGAGCATGTACAGAAACTTTGAAAGCAATTATTATTTTTAAACAGTTTCCGTAGACTACTGGTAATGTGCGAGTAATGTCCTGTTCCATCTAGTAATTCAAGCAAAAACTCAGCTACATTTTGTTGGAAGCATGACTCGAGTACAGCTTCCCATAATTCATCTTGTTGGCCGACGCTTTTGTTACTTGAATTTATACTTCCATAAATATGCTCATTTATGATATTCTTGCTGAATAACACGTCTATGATAATCTCCACATCAACGCTGTTCTTTAACTGACAAATTGGGCACCGTCTGGAAATTATATGCTTCGGTCTCAACCTGAGACCTTTCTCATAATGGTGCCATATTTGTTTGGAAAGGTCGGGGTAAGCAGGTTTAAGAGCATCAAGAAATTTGATCATTGTTTCGTAACTTCTTTTAGTTATGATGAGCACGACAGACCGCACTTGCTTTTTTCTGTCGTCACTTTTGTATATCAGCCTACGGTCATCCTCTGTAATACATCCATTCTCAATAGCGCTATCTTCAATCTCGTGCACTGTAACATCGGCTGTTAGATTAGGAATGCAAGATTTTATGGCGTCTGCTAAAGTATCTGGAAACCGCAAAAAGTGAATATACATACCGCCTTAATTTTTGCGTGTAAGTCATTATAAATTTACTAAGATATAAAAAAAAATGAAATCATCAAACACCTTCAAGAAATAGCATCCATGCAACTGACATCAAATTACATGTATTTGTATAGACTCAATATGGAAGAAACGATAAATACTTAATACATATACATCGATAAATTTGTAATTTTAGATAGAAAAGCCTAAAGTTTAATAATATTTTATTGCTCCTTGAATACATACAATTTATGAATATTATTTTCACATAACAACATTTTTTAACAAAGGGCAAAATGTTTGAACAACAAGTTGTAGCAACATTAGTAACGTTCTGTCCTTCCTTTATAAACATAAAGACACTAACATCATTCTTTCAGAAGTACTAGAAACCCTACAAACGGATAAATATTTGCTTCTGTATATGTTTACCTCTTTCTCGTCTTTTCCGAATTTTCTTGCGAGGTTTGTGAAGATGGCAGCTGTTCATGCGCTTCCTGCCTGTATAAATATTATGGTCACTCATTATGTAGAAGCACTAAAAGTCTCTATTTTCAATGGAGCACTTACATCTGGATATAATTCTTCTATACTAGTTTAATGGCATTGGACACTTTCTGTTATCTATCTGATTCCCTGGAGATATTCAAAACATTTTAATACAATTTAAAACTTCAATTTTCAAGTGACGCACAGATTTAAGGGATTTTTAAAACAAAGATCTAAGAAAAAAAATCAAAATTATCATAAAAAATTCTCCTTTTTTATAAAAGTTTAAGTAATTTTAGATTATGAATTTATCCCATTTCATTTTACGATTACAAAATATCCATATCAAACTACCGGTATATGAAATATTAAAAAATTGATGGTGCTAGCGCCTCGCTCAATATAGGTTTGAGAGCTGTGGATTCGGCCAGTAGAATTACAGAACAAATGTCAACATTTACTTGTATCATACATTTTTTGTACTTCTTTGAGGTATAAAAAATGATAGAAAAGTAAATTGTTAAAAATGCTGTAAACTTTCGTCCTTTCAGCCTTCTTCAGCGGCATTTATTATACATACAAATTATATATAGATGACATATACATGTAAATTTTAATATATTATACCTACATTGTACAATTGTAACTTAATGTTTATTTTCACATATAAATGTACAGTGGATGTGTATCAAATTTTATTGAGTATTGGCCTTGTACATTAAAATACGCTGCCATTAATTATAAATATATAATTAAAAGGCTATTATATAAATTAATATTGCAGTTTACGGTTATTAATAAAATTCGACTTACATGTTTCATATCTAATCCGACAGACTGTAGATACCAATAACTTGTCATAATAAACACACTTATCTAGACTATATTATGTTCATATTAATATGCTGACCAGGTTTTACATACATGTTGTATTACTCATATTTAAATGTCGGGCAGTTATCTGATAGGAGCCGTAAAATCGTGCAATGCTTTGATTAGTATAATTTTCAATTCTGTTAGAGATATTTTTACCATAAAGGCTCTTCTCTAATGTAGTTTTTGCGTTGATACTAAAATGATTTTAACAAATAGTTTTTCAAAGATAGTGCTCACGTTGTGAACACCTTCGTAACCAATGGATTCGGGGCGTACTACAACAGCAGTCCAATTATTTAGGCATGAAGCTATCTGGATTGTTACAAAATAAATCTAATCAAGCGTAAAGAGAACACTAACTTGTTTTGCCCCTCTTGGAAACGTGGTTAATCTGTCTGTATATACGTACTGTTAACTTTATCAAATGGATTTCACAAGAAGAGACAATGCCCATGGCACAATCCTTGTTTATCTTGAAGTCATTAGATCAAGGTCATGGTAACATTATGTATAAAATCCTTTAATGCATGTGCATCTGTTGGCGATAAGCGGAATAACTGTACTAGTATGGGGAGAGCCATAAAGGCAACTGAAAAAATGGGCAAAATTATTGTGCCATTACAAAGCCTGCAATGTTTTTCCTGGTCATCTTGGTTGAAGCATATTAATTTGGTATGTTTTAAAGGGTCTCTATGGAGGTCTGATAAAATGGGACAAAAAAAGTAAATTATCACAACCTGTATTTTTTGTTACCTACCGGTTATAATTTATTATTTTATTTTACAATATATGTAAACTTGTTTATCTAAAACCTGCAATTGGCAAGTGGTGTAATTTGTTTCAAATAAGGTAAAATATATATATATATCTTTAAATAAAATATTGGTTTTTCTTCCCGTATATCATTTTCATGTCCACCAGGATCTAAATTCTGATTGGCTCTCTTTTAGTATCGTTTTGAACATATACCGTGCTATTTTGATACATAATGGTGCAATACAGTTTTCCGATACACTGGCTTACATATCAAATTGTAAATACATGTACTGGGGTCACGATTATAAATGGTTATCTATAAGTAGGCTGTTTAATTTTAACAAATTTCAAGGATATGTTATACTTCATATCAACTACATGTATCATATGATTAGTTAGTCATCTGAGCTTATGCAGAAGGAATCTTTTAACACAGGGATCATAGGTTCGAGCCCTAATCAGGCCATGACATTGTTTCTTCATATGACACTAGTACTGGTTGGTTCCAGGAAGTGGACATAAAAAATAATTAATATATGTTGCAAGAACTTGTTTCGCAATCGAGCTTAAATAAAAATATTTAAACCATATACAACATTATAATACACCTTGCTCAATTATGACTAAAATCATTTTTGCTTTAGAGTAATTTAGAATTTCCCCAATTAGAAATAATTTAAGATTCATTCAGTGCATGTATTCACGCTATTTGTAATGTGAGATTATCTCAGAACACTGAATAATTCATTAAACTTTGGTACCAAACATTCAAGTTGAGGTAGACAAACACCAAATACCAAGGGCAACAAGCAATTATCATAGTATTGCAAGCAATCCATAAGTCCCCTACCGGTTAGAACCCCATCAACATTCTGAAGGGCCATTGGCCATTCACTAATGTTTCAATTTTTCTCTATTTTAATTAAATTTGTTGGAAAAGTTCTTTAAAAGTGATCACAGGAAACAGTTTTTATGAACAGACTGACAGACGGACTAAAGTACACTCTAAAGTTAATATTTGAAACATCCCTGTTACCAAAATATAACATTTTTAAAAGCAAAATTCTTAAAGAGAGGATAACTCTTGAAATAAAGATGCAATTTCATAAAAAATTTCAGCTCTTTTTGACTAATCACAAATATTGTTATATTTGCCATGTTTTAAGCCTATTTGTTGCCAAGGCAACCAATATTTTTTCAAAATAGGAAGAAAAGAAAAAGACGTGCATAATCTCCAGACTGCAATCTACCCATATTACAAGTTTCATAAAAATATTTCTATTACTTTTTGCGTTCAAACTGGATCCAGTTTATGTGTAAAATTTGGCCATATTTTCAGTCTATTTGTTGCCATAGCAACCAGAATTTTCAACATAGGAAGAAAAGAAAAAGACGTGCATAATCTCCAGACTGCCATCTACCTATTTTTCAAGTTTCATAAAAATATTTCCAGTACTTTTTGTGTTATCACTGGATCCAGTTTATGTGTAAAATTTGCCATATTTTCAGCCTATTTGTTGCCATAGCAACCAGAATTTTCAACATAGGAAGAAAAGAAAAAGACGTGCATAATCTCCATACTCTATCCATATATCAAGTTTCATAAAAATATTTTCAGTACTTTTCAAGTTATCGCGGGATCCAGTTTTGTGGACAGACAGACTGATGGACTGACAGACAGATGGGCGGTAAACCTAAAGTCCCTTCCGGTAAACCGTTAGGGGACTAATAACTACGATATTTCCTGGAAATCGAAATGTCAGAATTCACATTACAGATAAATGAACTTGTACAAAATGTTATCAAATGTTATTGAGAATTTCACAGATATTACAATACAGTTTAAACAAGAGCGATCAGTAATCACATGTGTCGCCTCATAATGGCCAATTTCATGTTGGGACAAATTTTGTGACAGACGGACAGACAGTGCACAACTAGACTTGGTACTGATCAATCATGTAAAGTTTGGATAAAATTGCACCAGTAGCTTATGAGGAGTAGTCCGGACAAGCTTTTGCGTATCTGGCAACACACAGAAAAAAACACCTTTTTATCAAAGGGCCATAACTCAGCCAAAAATCATTCAACCGGAAAACCCTTGCAATATGCGCAAGGACTTGAGCTACAGATCAATCCTGTAAAGTTTCATTGAAATTGCATAAGTGGTATAAGAGAACTAGTCCGGACAAACTTTAAAATTAAAAATTATTAAAGGGCCATAACTCTGAAAAAAATCATTGAACCGGAAAATGCTGACAATATGCACAACTAGACTTGGTACTAATCATTCCTGTAAAGTTTGGATGCAATTGCACCAGTAGTTTATGAGGAGTAGTCCGGACAAGCTATTGTGTATCTGGCAACACACAGAAAAAAACACCTTTTTATCAAAGGGCCATAACTCGGCCAAAAATCATTCAACCGGAAAACCCTTGCAATATGCGCAAGGACTTGAGCTACAGATCAATCCTGTAAAGTTTCATTGAAATTGCATTAGTGGTATAAGAGAAGTAGTCCGGACAAACTTTAAAATTAAAAATTATTAAAGGGCCATAACTCTGACAAAAATCATTGAACCGGAAAATGCTGACAATATGCACAACTAGACTTGATACTGATCATTCCTGTAAAGTTTGGATGAAATTGCACCAGTAGTTTATGAGGGGTAGTCCGGACAAGTTTTGTGACGGACGGACGGACAGACAGACGACGGAGAAGTGATCCCTATATGTCGCCACTACTCCGTAGAGGCGACACAAAAAAGACACATGTCTAGAGTATTTAAACTGTATTCCTTTGATTTCTGACATTAAAATAATTGCTAACCTTATAATGGACTATGAACATGAAATACACAAACTTTGTGTTTCAAATAATATTTAATTGTATTAGAATTTATATCAATAGAATTAAAGACAATCACAATTCAAAACTTACAGTGTGAATATTCAAAATACACATACATGTAAATGTACATACGAAATTAATCGCAAAGTATTTCAGTGTTTGTACATCAATATAAAAAAGATTTAAATATCCTAAATGGTTGTAAATAGACGCAGATCCTCATTTTGTTTTTCTCAGTAATAATACTACAGATTCTAATTCAGACACAATCAATTTTTCCTTTCTAGGCATATCTTGGTAGATAACATACCAATAAAGAATAGCAAACATTTTCAACAATTACTATTCAATCTTCAATAGCGTAAATATATGATGAAAATCATTTCTTTTAAAACTCAGTGATCAAAAACTATCAAGCAAATGAGCCGATGTCATTTTAAAAAGTTTACTTCTACTTTTAGCTCTTTCAATCATCAAACGGAAACCATTTGAGCATTTTTGTACTGGACTATGATCATAAGTGTACACACAGGTGCTTGAAACAAACTTTTTAAAGTTTTATATGGGCTATATACTATAATATACATATATAGACGGTTATGCAAAATATTTGATTATGTGACTAGCGCCTGTGAGTGTACATGTAGTTTTATCAAAATCTACCAAGTGGGTGAGGAGATGCCATTTAAAGGTTTTCCCTTTTTTTTTTAGCTTTGAAAGCTGACTGGAATCTTTTAAGCAATTTTATAAACAATTACCCAAGGATCATTCCTACAGTTTCATTACTATTGGTCAAGCAGTAAATAAAATGTTGCTAAAATATAAATGACAGTCATAGTGATCACAATGGCTCGCCTCCAGCATTTTGTGCTCTTGTTGGCTAAAAAGTAGCATTACGTGTAACAACAGAAAAGAAATATTTACCACTTATATCCAAAGTATGCTTAACTGAATGACAAAAGATATTAGCAATGTACTTTTTTACATTTAAGTATAGCCTTCACCTTTCTAGTTGGTGATCTAGTCTTTGCACATGATTGGAATCCCTTAAAGCATATACTAGGACTTAGAATCAAGGAACTAATTGAAGACGAGTGTTTGATATTATACTAGTTAGCTGGCCTCTTAGGCTTATCACCAGCACTAGTTTATTTCATTTGGGAGAACTAAAAGCAAATGTAACTTGTTCTTGCTGTATACTGTCTAAAAACAAAAGTGACGATTGTCATACTGAGAAGTTATTGTGTCTGAACCGTAGATGCCAGTTTTCTGAACCTATTACTGATGCTGGAACTTGAACAGCCTTGCAAAGGTTCTATTTACTATTTAGATATAAGCGACTAAACTATCTTGGAGACTTGTAACTGGCATAGAATTTTTAATTGCTCGAAAGATTTTGTAAAAGCCATCAATTATTTTTTATAAGCTCTTTTGACATACTTTTGCATCAGTATGGAACCATTATGTAATTTTTGTGGAGGACCATTCCTGTGAAGCTTGGTCAAAATCAACCTTGTGGTTTTGGATGAGACGTTGTTTAAAGAAATTGTGGACAACAACTCAACAGACACTTTGCCATCACAAGAACTCACCTTTCAGGTAAGCCCAGAACTATAACAGTATGCCACACGCAATAGCATAAAACAAAAAATTTACTACTGTTACTGTAATGTATTTTGTAGAAATCCTTTCAAGATATACAATCATGTTAACATTTTCTTATATATTCTACATAAAATACATCAAGACTGTAATAAGTACAATTAAATAAAGATTAGCCAATCACCTTAAAACAAGTTCTATTAAAAACTGTTTTACTGAAAAAGCCTGACATAACATTTCAAATCATCATACATAAAATCTTAGTTTCTCAATAACATTTTATATTCTGTTTCAGAGTAATTGAAACCTAATCCAAATAAAAAAACATTTTTTTCTCTTTTCCACCCTATTTAACAGAAGTAAGTCATAATGTTTATCTCCTCTTTTTTCCCTTTCCTTTCTTCCTTTGCTCTGACCTCTTTTGTGCTCTACTGTCTTTCTTTAACCTTCCGTCAACTACTTTAAAAGGTCCTTTTACACCTTGTGGTCTACTGACCTTTTTCCCTGCAAGTCCTCTCTTTGATACAACATATGTTACCTCCTTTTTCTTAGAAGTCAACAAACCAGCCTTTTTATAAACTTGTTTTATTTGTTGCCATTTTTCTCTATCTGTGACTTCTTCAGTGTCATTAATTGCATCTGCCTTCTTTCTTGCCTTCTGCAATCTTTTCATCTGTTTCCTCTTTTTACGAGCCTTTGCTTCTGCAATTTTTTTTATAGGATTGGCATCAACTGCTTTCATTTTCATTTTGTACTCCTGTACTTCACCTTTGGTGACTGGCAACGGTATACGATGGTGTTTCCTTTCTTCCCTCTCAAACCAGTCTGGGAGATTTGTATCATTAAACATATACCTATGGTAACCACTCTCAATAATTTCCCTTCTTCGTTTCCTTGAAGATACCAAAGCAGACCCTATAGCTAGACCGTTTGTATCTAACTTATAAGCTGACTTTTCCTCAGCTGGGACTTCTTCAAAACCAGAACTTTTATTTGACTTCTTAGCTTTCCCTTTTTTTTCTTTATTAGCCTTTTCTTGCTGTTTATAGAACTCTTTAGTATCATAATCACTGTCTGAATCTGAATCATTTCCCTCAGATTCACTACTTGTCTCCGAATCACTATCATCAGAATTCATCTCGACAGCACTATCTTTATCATCACTTATTACTTTCTGTTTAACAACTTTTGTCTGATTAATATCCTTCACCTTTTCTTCAGGAATAATCATATCTTCCTCCATACCTGTTATAACTCCTCCTTTCTCTTTATATGCCTTTGCCATTTCCTCAATTTCAACATCTTCATCATCGTCATCTTCCAATCCGGCAAATGCATCTTTGCTAAACCACGTATCTGTCTTTGCTTTTTTGCCAGGCTTACCAACCAACAACGGATTAAGGTCATCTAGATCAGCCTCATCCAGTGAAATATCTGCATCTTCTTCATTGGAATCATCATCATCATCACTGCCCTGATCATCCTCATTACCATCATCTCCATCAGAACCTTCACCTGGTAGTTGATATTCTTTTATACCATCTCTTTCCCATGTAATTTTTGTTTTTTTCTTCGGCACTTCATCTTCTTCCTCTTCATCATAATCAATGTCACTCAGTTCTACTTCCTCAACTTTTTGTAACTGACTCTTGGACTTAATTCTATTCAAATCAAACAGTTCCCTATCCTCAGACATATCAAGCTTGTCTCCAGGAAGAACAAGTTTCATGTCCATTTTTCTCTGTAATCTCCCTCTTTCTCTTCTTGTTTTCTTAATTTTTCTCTTTAACGCTTTCTTTTCCTCACCTTCAAGATCATTCAACTGTTCTTCAAGTGCTGCCAAATCATCTTCACTATCCTGCTCAGGCACCTTTTCCTCAGCGTCTTTTTCATCTGGCATATCAGCTATTCTTTTCTCTTCCATTTCTTTCTTCAATTTTTTACGCCAATTTATAACCAATCTGATTTCACGTTTTCCTAATACTTTGATATCTTTCAAGCATTCTTTTATTTCAGCTGTTGTAGAAGGATGGTTTTCAATTCCTTCGTCATCAAATTTGACTTCAGAGGCGTCGGCTAATAATTCCAAATAATTGTCACTTGTTATAAATTCACTGACTTTGAGTGTATGAAATAAAGTGTAGTCCCCTTCAGGATACCCATCTCTGTGTCGCGTTTGTTTCTCCGGGTGAATCAAATTTATTGATTGGGTAGGCTCATCTTCTATGTCTTTAAACACTGATTTAGCGTCCAAAAATTTTGGATCAATTCTGTTCGGTGCCAGATAATTCTGACAGACAACAAATATTTCTGCTGACTCATTTCTAGAAGCTTGAGGTTTGGTGGCATGAACATTCTTAAAGAGCTGCTGGAAAACCCAGAGTAAAGAGTTGTAGTCTTTGGATCTAAAGACCTTGGTGATAAACCATCCACCTTTCTTCAGGAACTCTGTTGCAAGCTTCAATGCTTGAAGAGTAAGATGTGCCTACAAAAACATTATGAATTGTCATAATTTATATAATATATATATTAATATCACAGAATTATCATTTGTAAATTCAATAAACATTATTTTCACAATATTTCTAAATATTAACTGTTGACATAGGTTTCCAAAACTTGTTTGAGATTATGATCAAACTTTAATAAAATGGAACATCATATTTTCATTTCAAATATGATTCTTTTATAATAATAATAACAACAAAAACTTGTAACCTGCCTAAGGAAAGTTTTACATGAAGCACTAAAATTGTGTTATTTCAAAAGATTGAGATATCCTTCTGGACTTTTAGTGCAAAATCTTAATCAATGCTAGAAATAAATTCATTAAAGAAAAAGAATAAAATAACTCCTGTGTCTGTGTATGTGTCATTAGAATTACATTTGTATAGTTATCATCATTTCAAAACCACAAAAGTCACAAATATAAAATCAATACAAGGTATGGTTTGTTACAAGGTACATTTCCTGTCCAGTCTGTAACTTTTTCATCGATCAAGGTATGCGGGCCTTTGAGGTAGGGGTCGGGTGTTGTGCATGACACCTCATCTTATTATTGTGAACATTTGTGCCACGTAATTTCAAAATCTCTTGATCTATGAAAAAGTTATGGACTTGACACAAAATATACCCTATCACAGACCATGTTAAGCTTTGACCTTCAAGTGTGACCTTGAAGTGGGTGTTGCAGATCAAGGTGCATACATATGTGAAGTTTTAAGTCTGTGAATGGAATGACTTCTGTTTATGGCCATGATTAATATTCTATATTAAGAGGTCACAGTTACCTTGACCTTAAAGACTGACCTCTTAGTGGCTCAACATATCAATATTAAAACATCTGTGAATGGAACGACGTCAGTATATTAGCCATGGTTAATATTTGGATAGTCCCCTCATCTAGACCTCTAAATGGACCTGGCAGGCTAACCTTAAGAACAGGCATACAGGTTTTGAGCTGTTATAGCTCTCATGAAAACATGTTTATTTTATGACCAAGTTTATTACGGGCTATTTAGGGTCATGGTGACCATGACCTTTGATCCAGTGACCGTCCTCTATATGAGTCTGGTTGTAAAAGCTCAAAGCCTATATCCTTAAACCTTTTATTTTGACATTCACTTTCTTCTATATTTCTAATCTAGCTAAAACTTGTACTAAGTGAAAGAATGTGTTATTTCACCTGTTGAAAAGCATCATGGACCCAATTTTTTCCAACATTTGGAGCACCATCATTAAGAACACAATCAGCTTTCCATGTCTGAAGTTCCTTCCTCAAATCCTGTCGGCATTTTTCCGTTGTGATATCATCTACCAATGTCTTACAGTTCCTGATTGGCTTAATTCCAACCAAGTCAACACCAATGATAAGACTTGAGACAGGGCAATTTTCACTACACACCTAGAAATAAATAAGCAAGGCTGCTATCATTATCAAAGTACTTGTGTAAGGATATATCAAAATGAAATATCAAGTGAGAGTAATCCTCATCATTAGTTTACGATTTATTTAGATTAAAATCTTTGATTACATAATTATCTTCTGCCCATGCTAAACCCCAAGGCTGTTAATACAAAGAAAACTTAAACAGATTGACATCTTATATAATTATGAAATTTGAATGTTTCAAAAAGCAGGAAAAAACAAATACATGTATACATGAATATTGAAAATCTAACAAGTCATAAGTTTCAAGTAATAAATGAAATCGATATATTTATTTATCATTACATGAACATTTATTTGCAATTCAAAAGAAAAGAAATTAATTATCTATTTTTTTTTTGGTTGGGTTTAGTCAAACCAAGTAGAGGTCATATGGTGACTTTTCCAGCTTTACTGGTAATGGAAGACTTCAAATGCCCCTCTGTGCTTTATTTCAGGCACCAAATAAAATTCACCAAATTCCGTAAGCTAGCTTGATACCTTCTTCTCATGACAGAATCCAAAGGCCCTATCTGGATTCCAACCCAGAATGACAGAATCCAAAGGCCCTGTCGGGATTCCAACCCAGAGTGTACCTTCTTCTCATGACAGAATCCAAAGGCCCTGTTGGGATCCCAACCCAGAGTGGATTAGGGTCAAGTGGCATTGAGTCAACAAACTTAACCACTTGGTCACAAACGCCCCAATTTATTTTGTTGAAATTTAAGAATTACAAAAGTAAAATCAAAGATTCAAAATAACAAGAGGGCCATGATGGCCCTGAGGTCGCTCACCTGTATATAGGCCCCACCAACCCCCCCCCGCCAAACGTTGCAGGGCCAATTTAACCCAAGGGCTTTTATTTGCACAAACTTGGTAGACACCCATAAGAAGATGTTTCATGCTAAACATCTAAGCTCTAGCTCATTGGGCTTTTTAAAAGAAGATTTTTTTTAAGTTTTTACTATATACACATATAGTTAAAAACAATGACACCCCTGGAGCCGGGCCAGATTTGACCCCAGGGCTTTTATTTGAACAAACTTTGTAGACACTTACTAGAAGATGTTTCATGCTTAATATCTAAACTCTAGCTATTTGGGTTTTTCCAAAGATTTTAAGTTTTTGCTATACACATATAAAGAAAATCAATGACCCCCCGGGGCAGGGCCAATTTTGACCCCTGGTCTTTTACTTGAACAAACTTGGTAGACACCTATTAGAACATGTTTCATGCTAAATATCTTAGCCATAGCTCTTTGAGTTCTTTAAAAGAAGATTTTTTAAGTTTTTACAATATGCATATAGGGAAAATCAATGACCCCCCAGGGCGGGGCCAATTTTCACCCCAGGGCTTTTATTTGGACAAACTTGGTAGACACTTATTAGAACATGTTTCATGCTAAATATCTTAGCTCTAACTCTTTTGGTTCTTTAAAAGAAGATTTTTTAAGTTTTTACTATATGCATATAGGAAAATCAATGACCCCCCGGGGCGGGGCCAATTTTGACCCCAGGGCTTTTATTTGAACAAACTTGGTAGACACCCATTAGAACATGTTTCATGCTAAATATCTTAGCTCTAGCTCTTTGGGTTCTTTAAAAGAAGATTTTTTAATTTTTTACTATATGCATATAGGGAAAATCAATGACCCCCGGGGCGGGGCCAATTTTGACCCCAGGGCTTTTATTTGAACAAACTTGGTAGACACTCACTAGAAGATGTTTCATGCCAAATATCTAAGCTCTAGCTCTTATGGTTTTTTAAAAGAAGATATTTAAAGTTTTTTCTTTCGGTTGCCATGGCAACCAGAGTTCTGCATGGAATTAAATTCTTTGAACAATTTTTAAAGGTGACCACCAAAGGAACATTCCTGTGAAGTTTGGATGAAATTGGCTTAGTGGTTTATGAGGAGATGTCATTTAACAGGTGAGCTAAAAATGTAGGGCTTATATTATGTAGTATAATCACCCTTTATCTGATAGAAAAAAAACTTGAAGAAAATATGTAAATCAACGTGTCTATCAATTCGCTGCTTAGGCAACAATTAATAAATTTTTTTTACGGAAAGTGTCACAATGTTTCAACAGTTACAATTTGCAGTCCACAACAATCTGACAGTTGATAAAAAATATAAACCTGAAGCCATCCTCCTGGTGCAGCACAAAGATCTACCACAACTCTCGAGTTCTGCAGAAATTCAAACTTTCTGTTCAGCTGAATAAGTTTGAAAGCTGAACGAGCTCTAAAGCCGCTCTCCTTGGCTAACTGGTAGAACTTGTCACGGCGCTGTTTACCTACTTTCTTCTTGTTTCCCATGTTGTATCAGTTCTGAAGTGAAAATAATTGCTGTAAGCTGTAATTGTGTAAACAATATTTAATGTCCTGGGCCCTATTTTGGCAATTTTTGGGCAAATGCTACATACCAAATATACATAGCAATGTTCTGGCCATTGTGGATTTTCACTAAAAGGTAAGATGTGCTAACCATACATTAGTTTACACAGCGAATTGTGAATGGGTCCGGTACAATAAAAATTGTGAAAAAAAGCGTTGTTTCTTAATAAATTGTGAATTTTTTACTTAAGATTGTGAATATCTTATTAAGCAGTAAGAACAAATAATTTGTGACTGAATTAACCATACTTAATGTCTAAAGCTTTACTGTTACAAGACATTTTGAATGATGTGTACTGAAATTGCCAGACGCTTGTTTCGGTATTGATTCGTCCCTAGAAGTTTCGTATTTAAACAATAGGAAAATTTTAAGGGCGAATGCAACAGAATCATGGTCGGCTAAACAACAACACTGACAGGCAAAATTTTAGCATCATTATGCTAAGAGAGGAAATAATACATTATTAAAGGCTTAATTAAGGCCATCCTTAAAAAAATGTTTGTTTGCAGTAACGCGACCGACTCACAAAATTTGCCCCTACTCAAAATTTTTTTTTCATGGTCTGGATAAAAAAATTTTTTTGGAATCAAAAAATTATGCCTTGTGCTTTGTTTTTGTTCTTTTAAACAGGGTTAGAATTTAGCAAGATTTTCTACTTGCAGATTTTTGCAAGTGATCAAATGTTTAACTGGCAATATGAGGAAGTCAACTAGCATTTCCATGATAATGTATTTTATTATTATTATTACATGTATTATTATTATTATTATACTTTATAGACAATCATGAATGACAATGTATTTTGATCATCTGATATGACAAATGATAATAAGCTCGATGTCTATTGAATATCAGAAACATCTTTATCACTAATATACACAGACCTCTTTTTGTAACGAAACCATAGGAACTATCTAGGAACACCCATCTTGGATGCTCTAATCAAAAGTGTTTAGCTGCTATAAAAATTCCATCAAAATATAGTCACAGAAAAAAAATAGAGCAATCGAAAATTGATTTATATAAAATATAAGTTTTTTAAGGTAAACATCATCAGTTACAGCAGGGGGCAGTTGCCAAGCATCATCATCAGCTCAGAAGATAAAAAATTATGTAAACGTACAAATTGAACAATCACTTGCAAATAAATGCCAGCTAGAGTAATTTTTACTGGCATTATTATATTTTAACTGGCATTTTGCCAGTATGCCAGCTTAAATTCGAACCCTGTTAAAGGTTAATAGAAGAAATAAAATGTAGGTCTTATTAAATTAGAATTCAGTTATCAATTTATTAATTGTTACCAGATTATCAAAGCATATATTGTCCAGCATTTTGAAATTCCATGTTTTTTTGGGAGTACAGTTCATTAAAAAAAAAAAATCGACCTACCTACCCACCTTGAAAATTCTGGGTCGGGTTACTGCAAACAAACATTTTTTTAAGGATGGCCTAATTGAAATTGTGAAATTTCATTACAATTGTGAACGGGTCCGTCGGACCCAGTCTGAAAATTGAGAAGGTCTTTTTGTGATTGTGAATGGGTCCCTTATTGGGTACCACTTATATAGTGAAAAAAATGAAATACAGTCAAACTCAGAGGGCCTATGCAAATTTGTTCGTGAGATAGGTAGTTTGAGCCAACCAAGGTTGAGCTATTAACACCTTGGACATAGGCCTAAAGGGTTTTCAGCTTACATCAGTTGGATGATTAACCTTTTCCCTCATATAGATGTGTTTTGACGGCTTTTTGTCCCACCCCCCTTTTTTCTAAGGCCTCAAACAGTGAAAAAAATGCCCTATTTAGGACCCAAACACTGTTTTTGACCACTTTTTCGGTGCCGTCCCCCATCCAAATGTTACAAGAGGGTTGCCAGAAGGGGGATGTGCCGCCATACAGTGCATAAAATCTGATTTGCTAATTCAAATGCAAGTGTTTAACTGAGTCCGAAGATTCTGACGGAATAAAATATAATTGGCTATGCACCATCAGCGTGTTCAAATATATTTTTCAGTTCTAAAATTTGTAATCAATTGGTAAAACACCTTACTTAACCAATATGGCCGATAGGGACAAATAGACTGGTATTTATGTTTTATTTTAAACTGCTAAGTACATTGTTTGAGAGTTTTGGTTTATGATTGAGCATGAACAGGTCTAGGATTTCATGATATTTACGGACAGTCTGTAAATTTTAGGACAATCCATAATTTTACAAATTTTTATATCTGTAAATTTACAGACAGTAAGTAAGAAAATAGTATAAGTTGCATGAAATTTCAAAACCGCAGGTTAAAATTAATAAGGTTACGTACTATATGATTAAATGTAACAGTATAGTAAGATTCTGAACAATTTGATGACTTTCAATTGTCACTTTTAACAAAAATTTCAAAATCATCATACAATGATGAAACTCACCCAATTACCTTTTTAAATATAAATAATCAATAAAACAACTTGTCAGAAGCTGCGGGTTTTAGTGTAAAACTAAAACAGCAAATTTCACATGGAATGTCTGTAGTCCAATAGATAAGACGTTACAGGCTTGTTATAGTTTTATGTTGGTCAAGCCCGACGTCTAATAGTTATTGCTCATAAACGCGTAGCATTTTGAAAAATTAAAAAAATGTCTGTTGACTTGCCTTTCAAGCTTTATTTAATCTTTAAGCTAATCTTCTGTTCTTTCAATTGCATGGTCTATCATTAACAAAAACTTTCAAACAATGTACTTATCAATTAAAAATAAAATATTAATATCAGTCTATTTCGCTCATCGGCCATACTGGTTAAGTAAAGCGTTTTACAGATTGATTCCAATTTTTTTGATCGGAAAAATATATTCAAACACACTGACGGTGCATGGGCAATTATTTCGTTGAAAAAATATTCCGTTAGAAACTTCTGGACTCATTTAAACGCTTGCATTTAAATTAGCCAATCAGATTTCGTGCACTGTATGGCGGCCATTTGTATATCAGCTGTACAAGGAATTTAATTAAATGAGAGGATTTAATCATGACTTTTCGGATGTGACAGTTCAATTATTTTGTTAAAAGGTATTTTTTTTTTAGTTTTGTTCATAAATAGGTCAAAATTAATGTTAATACACGCTGTTTTAATTGTTTAAATTCATTAGATCTAAATCGATGTCTAATGTCAATTTTTTTGATACACGATTTTGCAAAGATCTGTTAAGACCTAACATAACATGGAAAATAAAAAATGTAAAATATCAGATTAATGAATGATAAATATGAAATAGGTTACGTATAGGTCTTATAATTAGGACTAGGAATGTCTGTAAATTGATGGATTGAAAAATCTTTAAATTTCTAGCATATCCATAAATTTATTGACAGTCCATAAATATCATGAAATATTAGACCTGATGAAATTGAAAGAAAATAAGGCATAAGCTTTTGAAGAAAGCTTTAAAGGCAAGACAATAGACACTTTTTTTTAATTTTTTATGATGCTATGCGTTCAAGAGCAATAATTAATAGACGTCAGGCTTGACCGACATAAACTATAACAAGCCTGTAACGTCTTATATATTGGACTAATTGTGTACTGTCCGAATACGGGCCTACTTATTTCAATAACCATAAGTCAACTAAAGTAAACACTAACAGAATAACTTCACATTGATGGATTTTGATTAAACTTTGATTTTACTTACATTATAAGTATATTTTCGCGGTATATATAAAGTGACTACCTGAAAAGTTCCGCTTTTATAATTCTGATTTATGCACGTGTGTATTCCACCGGAAGCAGTTTTCTAAATAAAGGGAGGTAAATATGCAAATGTTGCCATTCTATCACAACCGTCCATACGGTCAGGCTATTGTATTAATTTTCCACCTCATGCTAAAGATGCCATTTTTCTAGATGAATGATCTGCTTGACACATTAAAATAATCTTGTTACATAGGGTTGATCAGCCAATTTTGTAGAAAAATATTCCCAGATGACTACCACCATTGTTGATCACAGGACTGACATACTTTAAAAAAAATATGCAAATAATGATAACTTATCCTATATATAGACTTATAAAACAGTTCATTTTAAGCAAACAAATTGCAGTGTTAGTTTTTATAATAATTTTCATACTTGTAACCATTAAAATTTCATCCTTCACCTGATGTCCTACGGTTTTCTCTGCACTTTTTGCAGCCAAACGCTGGCCATGTTACAAAATAGTAATCTGACCATACATATAACGGCAGTGACTTGAATATTATTAAATGATATTATACAAATTAGAAATTTATATGAATTATATTTATATTGTATCATACACATTTTTCATGATCAATTATCAGTCAATGATCATTATATTAGTCTCTGTTCAAATATATTACTAATGAAATTCAACTTGACATGGAAAAAAAAGGTCGTTATGTCACTTAAGTATTAGACACACAAAAAAAGATAAATCATATTTAGCTGTTCCAGGGTCTTTCAAATAGAAGACCCTGGCTGTTCCAAGCTTTAAATATCTGCGACTGCATTGAATCTCTAGTTATTTTTATTAATCTATTTATATTTATTCGTTAACTATAATTTAAATTAGAAAACTACTCTTTAAAAATGAATTTAGAAATAAAAATATTTTTATCTTTTATTTATTTTGCTATGGCAATTAATTCACCATTATTTTTAAGTATCTAAACCTGTTAGTCATGATGATATATTTTTAAATGTAATGGAAATATTTTTACTCCTGATAAGTTTTGTCACGGATTTATATTACTATAAATCAGTGGTTTTGTCAATTAAAGTAACTCACCGGTATTATACTTCCTATGTTGCCATCTGTCACAAGCATCACAAGTGACTGCCTCCTACAGTTTCCGCACAACACTTCCACAGTCTATACAATTATCAGTCATTTTCAAGAACCAACAAATAAGTTTAGGGCTGATTTAACTAGTATTGAGGCCGATTTGTCTAGTTTCGGGCCGATTTGAATAGTTTTGGGGCCGATTTGACTTTTTAATATTGTTGTGTGGCCGATTAGACTAATTTTGAGGCTGATTTGACTAATTTTGTTGAGGCCGATTTGACTTGGGTCCGATCTGACTTGGGGCCCATTTGACTAGTTGCTTATTGAATTACTACCAAAACATGTTATTTTTTATCATTAACCACACCCCTATCAATACGGAAGCAGTTTTCTAGATAAAAGAAACTAAATAGGAAATGAACACAAGGAATATGAGCCTGCAAAGATGTTATATTTCCAATTCTTAAAGATCGTTCTACACGACATTATTTAGTGTTATGTTTATGGTATTTTTTAGCTTCAACTATTTGGCTTTCCCTATTTGGGTGGTTCCAATATCCCTACTAGAATAATATTGAATCACCCTCAGGATATGTTGCCTGTTTTTTAACTTTGTTTTTTGACGTCTTATCTGTGATATGCAGGCTTCATAACATCTTATCCCCTTTCACAATACCATTTTGTTTTGTTCCGTCAATTGTTTTCTCGTTTAAGGTGCACATTTTCTTTTCCATGGGGACTCTATGCCACTTTTCATAGAATGGCACGGAAGTGTCACATTGAAGGTTCCTTGATAATTGCCGCATGAACACATCTGTGGATGTGTCTAAATTAAAAAAATACCATTTCTTTGTTTACATGTTGAATTCTACTTAAGCTGGTGCTTGGGGTGGACTCTTTATTTTCTCTATTTAAATATAAAATCGGGCAAGCTTGCTTCGCAGTTTTTTGATCTTTCAGGCCTCATGTATAATCACCAATATTTTATTGGAAAACTGAAAAATGTGAATAAGAAATTCAAAATTCAAGGATTATGTGAGTGTTGAAGAAAAAATAACAGGAAAGAAATACTTAAAGATTTATGTTGATATATTATTGGTTTACAAATTTTTGTATTCAAAATAAAATGTAGAGGACTAACATGTGTTAAAATATAAGTAAGGAACATGAAAATTTTTACTGACCTACAATACTCTTATAAGTTAATATTTATGTATTTTGAATAATCAAGTCTGATTAATAATTATTAGTAACATTTTCATAAACTTAAATTCACAAGCTATCTCGTAGAAAAACATATTTTTTATTTAAAAATTCATATTGGTGCATAATATTTTATAACTTACTGGTGTTATATTTTTGAAAGAATGTAAGTTAGTTTTTAAATCATGTATAATAGTATATTCATGCCAATGTAATTTATATTTAGTCTCTCAACGCAATTGGGAGTAACCTTGAGTTATTGGTCAACATGATCAATAAAGAACAAGTTTTTTGTGTGTACACGTGAAATGTTAGAGTTAAGGAGCCAGTATGTGTTCATTGTTAGACATGTGTTTTACCTACGAAAAAAAGATGTTTAGGCATCTACTCGCAACCATTTCTTATAAATTTAGGTCATATTTTGCATTGTAACATGGCCAGCGATTGGCTGAAAAAAGTGCAGAGAAAACCATAAGAATCAATTGGACAGGAGATGATTGGATGAAAATGGGGTATATTTTCAAGTAGAAAGTTACAGTACATTGTTTTCTGAAGCAAATGAAATATTTCATGAGTCTGTATAATAATTTTGTGGCTTGGATATTTGCATTTATATAGGGGCGTCCGTGGCCGAGTGATTAAGGTCTTTGACTTAAAACCACTTGCCCCTCACCGCTGTGGGTTCGAATCCCGACAGGGACTTTGGACTCTTTCATGTGAGGAAGCTATCCAGATAGCTAACGGAACGTCGGTGGTTCTACTCAGGTACCTGTTCGTGCCTGAAAATGATGCACTAAAGGGCACCTGAGGTCTTCCTCCACCAGTAAAGCTGGAATGTCGCGATATGACCTATACTGTGTTCAGGTGACGTAAACCCAAAACAAACAATTTGCATTTATAAAAAGTGTATCAGCAGAAATTTTCAATGAAATTGGGGATGGGGGTAATCCTCTTTGAAGTCTTTTTGCAAAAGAAAATGTTGGCTACCCTATATAACAGGGACATTTTATGTGTCAGGCATTTCATTCTGCTAAAAAATTCACCTCTTTAGCATGAGGCAGGATTAGGGATCAATGTGTGTGTCTGACCTATTTCCGAAGTTTGACGAAAAGACCCGAGAAGATAAGATTGATCCGGAATCAATCGCAACTACTCGGTCCTTTCCGTCAGTCTTCGGATATGATAATAGCCGAGGACATTCCGATAAGACTTTTATTAGACTGGTCCCCTGCATAATTACGGGATGGATGCCAAATAAGACCACAGAGAACCAGATTAAAATTTATTTACCTGAAGATTGATTATCAAAAAACAATGTTGTAAAGGATGGAAGATCCACCGCAAACTCAAGATGGAGAGGAAAATACAGGTCCTCTAATTAGATTCGATAAAGTGCTACCTCAGATCCTGGGGGTACTGTAGCGAGGTTTCACTCCCATGTTACCTGCCCAGGCTTATAACACAATCAAAGGGCTGCAAGCTCTTTGGTATTTTCTGATCTTTGCAATCAAAATCGCACCGTACATCTGTATTATTTTTATGTCTATAATTCTTCTTGCAGGGCACCAGAGATTGATATATACGGAATTTTGCATGACTAGAGTTGCATCAAAAATCATGTATGCATACATGTATGTGAACTTTTTTCGATAGTGAAGTGGGAGATTTTAGAATTTGCTATTAACAAAGAAGGAAGTTCTTACAACAAAAATGAGGAGATTTCTTTAATTTGTTAAAATATTCCTTATTTAAAAAAAAACCTTTCAAAATATGGCTGCAGAAAGTGGGAGTCTCGATCCGCTAAATGTGGGAGAGTTGGGTGAGAGGGAAAAGAGTCAACTCGGCCCTATACCAACTCGGCACGGGTCAACTCGGCACGGGTCAACTCGGCCTACTTTACAAAAATATATATAACATATTAACTTTGCTTTGCATGTTGTTAAGGTAATGCCGATCTTCCTAAAACCCTGTACTTCGTTCGATGGAGGAAAGACAATACCGGAAAAGCATCAAGTTCCGTGACAGCTGCAAACAGGCGGTTGACATAAAACAGCTCTTGTTAGCGCCACCCTCCAGAGTTAGTCAGGACAGGTCAACCAATCACCTCTGGTACTTGAGATGACTTGACCTTGACCTGCCATGTGCCTTCTCCACGACGTGCACGCCTCTGGAGGGATTTGGAGAAGACAGGTTGTGGTTTCGGCGAACTTAATTTATATAGTGCGAACAATATCTATTGTATAATGGGCATGTCAATTATCTCGGGTCTTATTAATGTGTGGTTTATCACACGTTTTCATGCAATTAAATACAAGATATTGAAAATTTAAACGGTTTAAATTTTCAATATCTTGCCTTTAATTGCATGAAATTAGATCTACTATTATACTAAAGAAAAGAACAAACAATAAGTTTAAAACCTATTGTTTATTCTTTTCTTTAAGTATAATAGTAATATTTACATAAAAGAATAACACAATACAAAAGATCTCAGTGAACAAACAACATCATAGAAATATATACATGTGTATAAAATTACAACCTGAAAAAACTAATAATCTGTCAAAATTTACACACAAACTATATACACAAATAGTAAAAGCTGAAAAGATTTAGAAGAAACAATGTTTTTTATCAGAATAAAATCGATATATATACAAAAAAAAAACCTTTAAGAGAAAGAATTAACAATGTATTTTATAATCTTAATATATACCAAAAAAAAAATAAAAAAATAACACACATATAAAAATCCACGTATGTAATAAACTATTATAAACAACACATATTACAAATACTTTATTCTTCTCTATCAGGGCTTTTTTTCACAAGTTGGGGAAGCAGCCCAGCCCTTAATTTTGGGGAAAAATTACATGGTATATTTGCAAAAGGGGAAGAAAAAACTTGATGTAAATTCAATATTTGGGGAAAACTGCATGATTTTAAAGAAATTTTCTTTGGGGAAGCAGCCCTATACCGGCCCCTGTAATAGAGGGTAAAAAGGCCCTGTCTATATAAACAATTGACACATGCATATTATTTAAGAGAATGCATCATGATTTCTATGTAATAAACAACAACAATCTGTTTTAGTCTTTATGATTTTCACCACTCTATAGTCTATAGATATAAAACTTTGATTTAAATGTTTCTTTTATAACAAAATATTGTTGATTAAAACACATGATATATATGAACCATGTCAACATTGCCTTTAATTACTATATAATATAAGGTTGACGAAACCACTTTCGCACCTCTTCATAAATCAAGTTCGCCAAACTGGTAGTTCGACGAAACCACCATAATTCGGAGAGAGAACATAATTATATGTTTATAATGTTCCTTTTTTAATGAAAGCCACACTTTATCCTTGCATATCGTGGCTACTTCCTTAACAAAGAAACTTAAAAAAAAAAATTGCCTTGATCAATGGGATTTGAACCCCAGACCTCTAGCTGACACACTATACAAGTGCTTTACCCCTGCACCACGGAGAAGTTATACGAAGAGAGCCTGAATAAAATCAAGTAATACTAAATTTAGAATTTCCATTGCATTTTGGGTTTGTAATCCTTATTAATTTCGGGTTTTTTTGTTCACGATAAACCTGTTGTTTAACATTCAGATGTAAATAATTTAGCAAAAATCTTCTCCACTACTTGACAGTCAGATTTATTTGTGAAGTATGCTCTGATCGACATCGCTAAAATAGCATTTTCATTGATTAAAATCATTTTCATCCGCGTAATTTGTGAATGTGCATTTATTGACAATTCTATATCCCAAAGCTACTTTTAAACTTTGAATGCGTTGTAATTTGTTGAATTAAAATATTTCTTTCTTTTAAATCGCTAGTTTTAAGCTGATTTAAGAACTACTTATTGTTAGGTTTGTCGTGAAACCGCTGTGTCAGAGATTGAATGTTAGCTTTGTATTTCCTGATCTTCGTGTAGACAGTGGCCACTAATTTGTTCATAAAAGAGATACATAAACATATTGTTTCAACCACATGTCGGGGTCTCACTTTACTTGATGGAATATAGAATTGAAATTATTGGGTTAACTGTTAGTTTCAGCACATTATGCAGTCATGCTTTTTAGAACCACACAAATGTCTTTTAAATACCATAATTGCCGAATTTTTATTTATGGATTGAATTAGATGTTTAATTCAAGTGATAATGTCAATGTTTGATTTAAACACATGTATTGAATTTTTTTTCTAGACAGATAATAACTATCACATAATTATCATTGTTTTCCGAGTAACATCAACTTTTCCGAGTAACATCAAACGTCTCAAATATCAATAATTTGGAGAGAAACATCTTTACAATTAACAAAGAGGGAGTGAAACGTTAAGGTTTGCAGCTCTGGAGTGAAATGTATGAATAGTAAAATGTTTTGGGAATGAAATATATGGCATTCATTCCTGGAATATACTGGTTTCAGACCATCAACTTTTTGAATATTTTCGTGCCCCCACTTTAGGGGATGCATTTAGATTTACCCTTGTCCGTCTGTCCATTCGTACAAGCATAAAGATACTTATAGGTGGCTATGGGAACATACAAAAACGTCGTTCTAGCGCATTTTATGAATGAACAGCGTTAAAATGGCGTCATTTCGGCGCATTTTTAAAGGGAAATATGTGCTAAGGATGACGTCATTTGACGTTGTTATTAAAGTTGTGAATTCATCTGCTTTTGTCATGTTTGTAAGGAAAAAGTAATGGATGAAATGACATTAATTTCCATGAACAATTATCTTATTGAGGTAAACCATTTTATATATGAAGAATATGGTACTGAATATGCAAGAAAAAATATCTGACATATGTTTGCTTTTCAGTTCGAAATACCATGTCCCTTGGGTACCTGCCTGAGGCAAGCCTTGTTCCCTCCCAATGGGCTGGGTACCCATGGGACGGATATTCTGATCCAAACCGTAACATATGACAGATATTATTATTAAAGAGAAAAATATATATTTGTTATCTGAATATAAATAATTGTTTTCAGAATTAGCAAGAGTGAGAAGAAAATTCCTCATCCTCTTTATTGTGAAATTCCTGCTAGGTTTTCTGCTGTTACTACTAGGGGGATTGGCAGTCAAAAATACCGAAACATCTGATGGATTTGGTCCACCTTATTACATTGGCGCTTTTCTTGTAGGTTGTGCTGTAAGTATCAAAATTGTTCTTTATTTTCAAGGCTTAAATCTGTTAGTTTATTGACACTATAATTTGTTGGGTATCCAGGACAGACTGCAAATATTTAGAGATTATTATACATTGTTGAGTACAATATTGAATTTTGTTGGATGAGTACACAGCTGTCGAATCTTTATTTGATGAGGCACTTAAACCAAGTCTGATATAGGTTTTGCAGCTGTGTATGATTCCAATAGAATCAGTATTATTCTCAACAAGTGTTTTGGACCCTGAAAATGAAAATGAGGCTATATGGGGTGCAATATGCATTTGATATGTATATTTTGGACTCTGGAAATGAAAACAAAATTAATAAGATTTGATGTGGTGTCTTTCATATTTAGTAGGTAGCTAGGTACCATTGATAGACTTTGAACTTTGCTTCGTTTCAAGGTCACTTAGAATGCTTAAAATAGATTTTTACACTTTTGCTCTTACAACCTTTATTGACCAATGTCTTTCATACTTGTGAACGACATCACTTTGGTGTTCCTCTTCCGCTGAATCAAGTTAGTTATCATTTGGTCAAGGTCACCTATACTAAAAATAGATTTTTACACTTTTGCTCATACGGATTTCTTGCATTTTTCATAAGCACACATCTTGTTCCATGTAGTGAGGGGTCATTGGGTTAAGATCACTGGTGATGAAATAGTGTTTTAACACTTTTAGTCATACATTCTCTATTTTTTGATAATTATGTACATAATCTAAGTTTGAATAAGATGAATAGATTTTTGGGTTACTTGGTTTAAAGTTAAGATCACTGATGCATAAAATTGATTTTAACACTTGCTCATTCAGCCTTTATTTATTGACCAATATCTTTCATATTGGTTAAAACATTTACATGCAGCTATCTTTACTGCTTAAAGTGTATAAAAGATATATATTTCCTGTCTGTGGATTGTAAAATTATTGTTTTATATATTGTGATTTCAGAATAACTAGAATGAAAGAAATTTGTCCACTTTTTTTTGAAAGCATATGGAAATGTCTGAAATATTATTGTCATCAAATCTACTAAAAAATAACAGCACAATATTTTATTCCAGAACATTTTATTTTGTTTACATACAATGTTCATGTACACTTAATTACATGGCCATTCTCCTTCTCTCTTTTAAGGAACCACATATGAAAATTATATAATTTTACTGTTTACTTCATCAGATATAGCTTTATACATTTTAAATAGTAAATTTGGCTGTTCAGTTAAATCATATTTCTGGGTTCAAGATTAAGGTTTACCTGTCTTAGTTATAGTTCCATGCATTCGTTTAAGGTATCTAATCATTATCTCCTGTAGATAAAATCTTAAGGGGTCGTTGAAATGGTGTTATCCATCTGTTCATTAGTAATCTATATAATTATTCCAGAACAGATTTGTCCAATTTTCTTGAAATTTGGCAAGAATGCATATACACATGTACAAAATTTGAGATAAATTCAGTTCATGGCTTTATTTTAAGCTCCAAAGTAACAGTGACATATAGGGATCACTTTTCTGTTGTCTGTCCGTCCATCCAATTGTCTGTCTTCTGTCACAAAACTTTACTAGTATTCAGACTACTCCTCAAAAACTATGGGTTCAGTTGCATCCAATTTTTACAGGAAAGTTCAGTATCAAGTCTAGTTGTGCATATCAATTGCATTTTTCAGTTCAATGATTTTTGTCAGCGTTTAATATGGACATTTAATTATTTTGATACAGTTCGGACTACTTCTCTTATACTAGTAATGCAATTTGGATGAAACTACAGGTTTGATCGGTAGCTTAAGTTCATATGCATGTAACATGGGTTTTCTGGTTGAATGAAAATTTTGGTTGAGTTATGGCCCTTTAAATAAAAGGACATTTTGGTCTGTAAATGATTTTTGTTGTTGCCTACTACAAAGTAGCCATGCCATATAAGGATTACTTCTTTGTAGTTTGTCTGTCTGTCTGTCCAGCACAAAACTTGTTGAGACTTTTTCTCAAAAACTACTTGCCCAGTTTCATCCAAACTTTACAGGAATGATGAGTAAGCAAGTCTAGATTTGCATATAATAAGTTCTATGATTTTTTTTATCAGAGTTATGACCCTTTAATTTTTTGTTTGTTCTTTTATAATTTTGTCTAGACTACTTCTCTTACTCTACAAATGCAATTTGAGAGAAACTTTACAGGATTGATCAATACCTCAAGTATTTTGGCATAATTTATGGGTTTTCCAGTTGAATGATTTTGGCTGAGTTATTGCCCTTGAATAAAAAAAATGCATTTTGGCCTGTTAATATTTCAAAACAGCTGCAACATATAGAGAACAAACTAGCAAGTTACCCCTCAATACAACTGCGTAATCAGGCAGCACCTGATCACCTAAATACTGATCACTTTTTTTTTGGTTTTATTTTTGAAAAATACAGTTATTGTCATTACCCTTGGTGGGTTCAAGGTGTTGGGTAACCTATTTTAAGATTTTGTGTATAGTCAATAACTTCAGTACTACAAAGGTACTAAAAAGTTATAGAAATGGAATAACTTGATGCACCTTAAGTCCTTGATGAGTTTCACCTGCCATATCATTTTAAGGTCAAATGTCATGGTCACTTGCACCTGTAATAATAAAAGATAGAACTGGCTATTAAATTAAACTTTTAATTAAATGCACATGCCACACCATTTTTTTAGGCCCAAGGGTCAAGCTCACTATGACATTTGTTTACTTCTTTTCTTCATTTTTTGTTTATGGTCAGTAACTTCAATTATGACATTGAAACTTGATATGACATTAATTTTGTGGACAAACTTGATGAGCTAGTTCTAACTGGTCAAAACATGAAAGGTCACCATCTATGTGACCTTAAATTCAAATTATCTTTTTGCTTAGAAAATGATAAGTTTACTAGCAAGCACTGAAAAAAAGCAGAGCACCCTGCTCTTCACATAGTTCTTGTTTTGTTATGACTCAAATTAACAGCATTTTGTAATAAAAATTTCCAGTTCTAAGCCATATTGGCTCTTATTTTCAGCAGAATGATAGATTCATACAATCTATATACAGTAAGTGAAAAAATAGCTCATGATTATCTTCTATAGTGGAATTCTTATAATTCTTTGAAATTTTCAAGGTCAATACAATCATTGTGATTTTACAATAGCAGCTCTCAGGCACAGGTGCTCGTCCAGTCTTGGTGCCTATATAAAAAAAAATTGAAGTTAAAAAAAAAATAAAAAAAAATCAACACCTAAAAAAAAAAAAAAAAAAAAATCAATTTGAAATTTTTTTTTCCCCTATATACCATTACTATGAATTCATAGTAATGGTATATAGGAAAAAAAAAATTTCAAATTTTTTTTTTCTTTCACTCAACCCAGGATAGTTGTTTAGGTGTTGATTTTTTTTTTAACTTCAATTTCTTTTATATAGGCACCAAGACTGGACGAGCACCTGTGGTTTGAAATGAATATAATAAAAATTAATTGCTATATTTTTCTAATTTATATCATAAACTTTTCTAGATCACGATGTCGGGGATAGTGGATCTTTTCATCTTTCGACTTCTTACCTCTAATGACCAGTCAGTACTTAATAAGTTTGTACAATGCGTAAGTTTTATTTTTAGTATTTTAGCTCACCTGAGGACAATGTCCTCAAGGTGACCTTTGTGATGACCTGTTGTCCATCGTGCATCTGTGCATGTGTCTGTGTGTGCATCAACAATTTCTTCAAACAACTTCTACTCCTAAACCACTTTGCCAAATTAATTGAAACTTTGCAGGGATATTCCTTGAATGAAGTTCTACCAAAGATGTTCAAAGAATAAATTCCATAAAGAAAGATTTTTATGCCCCCGCCATGTAATGGCCGGGGCATATAGTGTTACCCTGTTCCATCATTCCGTCATTCTGTCATTCCGTCATCATCAGTTTCCGTTCATTATCTTAGTAACGGATGCACACATTCAACTCAAATTTGACATATGGATATGTCATGAAAAATACAGGTCAAGCTCGACTTTGGTCATGGTTCGATAATTTTTGGCAGAGTTATGCCCCTTTTACTTAAAAATAATATGAAATTTTCAGTTTCCGTTCATTATCTCCCCAACGGTACAACACATTCAACTCAAACTTGACATATGGATATGTCGTGATAAAATACAGGTAAAGTTCGAATTTGGTCATGGTTCGATGATTTTTGGCAGAGTTATGCCCCTTTTACTTTGAAAATTTCAGTTTCCGTTCATTATCTCCCCAACGGTACAACACATTCAAATCAAATTTGACATATGGATATGTCATGATAAAATACAGGTCATGTTTGAATTTGGTCATGGTTCGATGATTTTTGGCAGAGTTATGTCCCTTTCACTTTGAAAATAATATGAAATTTTCAGTTTCCGTTCATTATCTCCCCAACGGTACAACACATTAAACTCAAACTTCACATATGGATATGTCAAAGGAATGCGCAGGTCAAGTTCAAATTTGGTCATGGTTCAATGATTTTTGGCAGAGTTATGCACCTTTCACTTTGAAATAAATATGAAATTTTCAGTTTCTGTTTATTATCTCCCCACCGGTACAACACATTCAACTCAAATTTGACATATGGATATGTTTTTGGAATGCCCAGGCCAAGTTCGAATTTGGTCATGGTTCAATGATTTTTGGCAGAGTAATGCCCCTTTCACTTTGAAAATAATATGAAATTTACAGTTTCTGTTCATTATCTACCCAACAGTGTTACATATTCAACTCAAATTTGACATATGGATATGTCAAAGGAATGGGCAGGTCAAGTTGGAATTTGGTCATGGTTCGATGATTTTTTGGCAGAGTTATGTCCCTTTCACTTTGAAAATAATATAGATACATCTTAGGAATAAGCAGTTTAAGTTTGAATTTGGTCATGGTTCAATGATTTTGGACAAACTTATCTTTCTTGAATGTTGGAAAAATTTTGAACTTTCAGTTTCAGCATTCATACTTTTGTGGAAATGTATGTAGCCATTATTTTGGCTACAAATATGAAATATGCTATTTTCAAAAGGTTAAGACTGAATAATTTCAGTGCCTTGAACATTGTATGGAAATGGTTTGTGTTAACATTGAAAAGTTTTAAGGGCTTTGAACTTAAAATGAAAAAAATAATTTGTGCAAACAAATTTGGAACTAAATATTATAACATCTGAAATTTTGGCTGCATGCGGGGTCATCCGTGGCATGATGACACATTTCTAGTTTTTACAAAAATCATAAAAAAATCTTCTTTTAAAATCAAAAATGTAACTGATGATTTAATTTTTGTTATTTCTTCTAGGGTGAAAAAGGGCTCCACTGTGACCTTTTGACCTTTTTCTCAGGTGGTCGATCCAACGCCCTCTGGGCCCTCTTGTAATGTTTAGCTCAGCTGAGCTTGTAGCGATCAAGTGTGAGACAATAGGATCAGTCATTGTTCAGACTCTCTTAGAGTTCTCCCTTATTTTGAGAATGTTTACACAGTTAAGCTCACAATTTTGGTTGGATCATCATCAGCCTTTGTCAAAATGTTCCTGTCAGTAATATCAAGGACAAAAACAAGATGGTTCATCTGGGGTAAAAATGTTTAATCTAGGTCACCAGGTCAAAGAAAAACATAAAAACACTATACAAACCATTTTTTGCTTCATTTATTTTTAAAATGATTATAGCAGTAATACCTTGGACACAAGGGGAAAACACTGTGATCTGATTGTATCAAAGTGACAAGACACTGTGATCTGATTGCACCACAGGGGCAAGATATTGTGATCTGATTGTATCACAGGGACAAGACACTGCTCTGATTGTATCACAGGGGCAAACTGTGATCTGATTTCACCATAATGACACTGTGATCTGATTGTATCACTAAAGCAAGATACTGTGATCTGATTGTATCACAGGGGAAAGACACAGTGATATGATTGTATCACATGGACAAGTCACTGTGATCTGAATTTACTATAACAATGCTGTGATCTGATTGTTTCAAAGGGGAAAGACATTGTGATCTGATTTTATTATAGGGGCAAGACACTGATCTGATTGCAATTTTCATGAAAAAAATGATGATTTATTTTATAACTTCTTTATTTCATAATGTATCTATTAAAACTTCATATATATGTGTCTTATTACTCAAGTAATTTGGGAGAAGGTTCAATACTCTAGCTTGACTATTTCCAGAATTATCCCCCCCTTGAACTTAGGAGATTTTTTTTCTAGAAATTATTATATTTTACTCAAACTTCTTCATTTCTTATAGCATTTCCTTCAAACTCCCACATCATAAAAATATGACAAGGGTTATAAATCTAGCGTCCATATTTCCAGAATTATCTCCTCCTTAAACTTTGAATTTTTCTTACTCATTCTTTAACTTTCTTATTTCTCCATGGATTTACTTCAAATTTAAAAAAAGACATTCATTATCAAGACCTACTTCATATGTGATTAGATTTATAAGACATGGGTTTCCATGATTATTTTCATTTCAACTTGAAATTTACTTGAATTTTTCTTTTAATTTTCTTCTTTGTTACTATAAATGGTATATTAAAAAAATCACTTTTATTTATTTGACGATAAATGGCATCTTCTTTAATCTTGAGATAATTGTTCTTTGTTACACTCACATCATGTATGAAAATGTTCATAAGTCTAGCATCTTTATTTCAAGAGTTATCTCCTCTTAGTTTAAGAATTTTGCTTTTAAAAATGTTATATTCTGGTAACTACCAGGGATGTTTAAAGATTTATCCTCGGTGTCAGTTGGTCTGTCTGTCCGGTTCTAAAAACTGTTTCCTGAGATCACTTTTAAAGACATTGGAACTTTTCCAATAATTTACTTAAAATAGAGAAAGTTGAAATATCAGTTATACATATTCATCCTGAGAAAATTGGATCTTTTGATTACTGTTCTATAAACATAATTAGGGAAACTTAACATATTACTGAGATACAGACAAACTAAGAACTCAAAAGATTTAAGTTTATTCATGTCATTCATTCATTCATTCAATGATATAATTAAATGACCAATGGCCCTTTAGAATGTTGCTGGGGTTCTAACCGGTAGGGGACTAATGGATTGCTTGCAATACTATGATAATTGCTTGTTAAACTAATTATTTCTTTATATGCTTTCAGACGTGCTTTGAAGTTGGGTTAACTGTTGTTGCCATATTGAGTGGATTCATAGGAATTTTCTTCGTTGCTATATTTGGCGTACCAAAATGTGATCCTTCCTCATTCTTTAGCCATTGTAATTATAACATTAACATGGGAACGAATCGAAACATTGCAATATCTATCCTGGTATTTTTGATAGCTGGTGAAATTCTAGGTATAGCAAGTATTGTGATGAATAATCTTGCATGTAGGGGTGTTGGCGTTTCCAACATATTTAAAGCAAGGCCACGCAGATATAATACTGCCCAAAATGTTTACATGGCAGGTGGTGGAGGTACTGTTGTCATGTCAACAGCTCCGGAACAAACACCAATTATTGGAGGCTTCGGTTATGGTAATTATAGAAGAAATGACAATTATAGTGCAGATACTCAAATAGTAATAGGTGGACAAGTTATAGATAAAAATCGAGGTGGTTTTTCAGGGGCTGTCATACACCCACCAGAAAATACAACTGTTCACCCATTCGTAGGGTATTATCCAGATAACCAGGGTGCAACAGGCCAACATCCCACATTTCATCAAGATGAATCCGTAAACCAGTTACAGGAACAAAACAGATTATTGAGAGAGCAGATTGCGTTACAACAACAACAACTTCAATTAATGCAGCAGCAACAACATCAACAACTGGATGCATCGTCCACAATGCCACCTCCTCCACCTAGTTATGAGTCATGCCTACAAGATCCTACTCAGGTAACATAACAAAATTATCAGAAATGGCACCTTAAAATAGCGCTAGTTGATTCTTAAATTTTGTGTGTTGAAAATGTATTAATGGGCATTTCTTGTTGTTAAAACAAAATTTAACAATTTTTGTTTAAGCAAAACTTAACAAACAAATACCTCCATTGTTCAACATCCTTGTTTCTTAGACATAATACTTGAGTGCATCTTATATTTACATTATGCCATTACTTTAACATTGTTTCTATTTCAAAGAATAAAGCAAAAAATTGCTTAGTACTGGTTGGTTCCAGGAACAGATTCAAAAGTGTTTCAATTATAAAGCTTATAGCTTCCAACACAATCAAACTGAAATAATTTGGATTAACTTAAAAAAAAACAAAAAATGAATTAAATAAAGGGTTATTGTAAAGATGTATTAGTGCTATTCTTGCAAAAAGTATATATTATCTTAATGTGTAATCATGCATTTTATTATCTGTATTTCATATAAAGAAACCATTTATCAATGCTTTTCATGTGCTAGCTTGATGCCTAGTGTTAATTTCACTATCAGGGTAATCATGGCATGAAACTGTTTTAACATTGTGCCCTGAGTCATGCATATTAAAAAGCACTTGACCACAGTGATGTCATGTGAATTTGTCTATTAATGCATGTTTTTTTTTCTGTTAATGTATACCAGTATTAAATATTTTATGCAAGAATAGAATTCAAGATAATGATGACAATTTATTGCATAGAATGTGACTAGTAGATGATTGATGTTCTTATACATGTTTTATATGTTTTCTATATGTTTTGAGTACTTTTGTCATTTTATAGACATACTTATTTATAAGATTCTGGAATAAGGTTTTAATGACAGTCCATCAATTTTTTCCAATGCTTCTTGTAGTTCTCTGAACTGAACACAAATTCATACAATTCAGAATAAAACTTTAGAATTTTTCTTCTTTTCAGATTAAATTTCTTCAACAACAAAATGAGGAATTGCTAAACAGATGTCAAACCCAGCAATATCAAATATCTGAAAAGACACCAGTTGTTCATGGGACACACCCTAATCCTTCGGCACCACCTATGTGAGCCAGAATTATTCATTCTGTTTATCTGCTGGTCAGGTTTCTATACAAAGGCAATTTATGACAGCGGCTAATGCTAAAAGGGCTATTGAAGGATTTTATATCAGAGATTTTTCTTAGATGTGGGAAAGATTGTCAGTGGATTTGATGTTAGTGGACTCATAATGATTTTTAGTGGATTTAATTGTTAATGGATTCATAATGATTATTAGTAGATTTAGTTGTTAATGGATTCATAATGATTATTAGTAGATTTAGTTGTTAATGGATTCATAATGATTATTAGTAGATTTAGTTGTTAATGGATTCATAATGATTATTAGTAGATTTACTTGTTAATGGATTCATAATGATTGTTAGTGGATTCTTGGGAAGGAAAATTAATGCATAGATGTTCTTTATGGTATTCAAACAATGATATCACATTGTGTCAAATATGCTGATACAAATATACCAGAAAGTAAGAAAAATTGTATGTTATTATCCCCCGCCGATGGAATCGGGAGGGGGATATAGTTTTGGCGTTGTCCGTCCGTCCGTCCGAGCAAACATTTGATTATTATGAGCTTCATTCCGTATTTAAATAAAGAACGAAAACTCATAAAATTCAAATTAAGAGCTATTTTGTTTGTTTTTATGAGCTTATTTTGCTTATGGACGTTGGTCCAGGTGGTGTTTATGAGCTGATTTGCCTCATAAACATCAAAAGTTGGTACGTCTGTCCATCCATCCGTCCGAATTTCGTTTCCGGAGTAGTTCTCTGAAACTAATGGCTGGAATTCAACGAAACTTTATGGGAATGTTGATCAGCATGTGAAGTTGTGCACCTGGGTATTTTCGTCTGGATATTTTTAGTATTTTTAGAGTTATTGCCCTTGACTCAGTAAAATTTTGTCCGAATTTCGTTTCCGGAGTAGTTCTCTGCAACTAATGGCTGGAATTCAACGAAACTTTATGGGAATGTTGATCAGCATGTGAAGTTGTGCACCTGGGTATTTTCGTCTGGATATTTTTAGTATTTTAAGAGTTATTGCCCTTGACTTAGTAAAATTTTGTAATTTTCAACTTGTGTCGCATGTAACTCAAAAAGTATTTGACCTAAAGTCATGAAACTTTACAGGAATGTTGATCAGTATGTGTAGTTGTGCACCTGGGTATTTTCGTCTGGATATTTTTAGTATTTTTAGAGTTATTGCCCTTGACTTAGTAAAATTTTGTAATTTTCAACTTGTGTCGCATGTAACTCAAAAAGTATTTGACCTAGAGTCATGATACTTTACAGGAATGTTGATCAGCATGTGTAACTGTGCACCTGGGTATTTTCGTCTGGATTTATATAGTATTTTTCGAGTTATTGCCCTTGACATAGAAAATGTTTGCAATTTTCAACATGTGTCGCATGTAACTCAAAAAGGATTTGACATAGGGTCATTAAACCTTATTGGAAAGTTGCTCAGCATATTTAGTTTGTTCCTGGGGTTTCGCTTGTGGATTTATCCAGTATTTGTAGAGTTATTTCCCTTGACTTAGTAAAAACTGTTTCATTATGTTGTTATTTGATCCTTGAGTGCTTGAGTTAGGATCGACCAACTTTACAGGAATAATGATCAACATCACTAAATTACAGGAATGATGATTCACCTCACTGTGATGCTATGAACCTGGGACTTTGCATGTGGATTTTTTTCAGTTTTGTTAGAGTTATTGCCCTTGAATTACAGTAGTATAAATTTGCAATTTTCAACTTGGGGTTTGCTTGGGATTTATTCAGTATTTGTAAAGTTCTTGCCCTTTACTTAGTAAAAAGATTTTTAGTTTTCAAAAAATATTTGACCTTAGAGAGTCATAAGATTGACAGAACAGTGGCGCGGTGGGGGCACCCGTGTCCTATGGACACATTTCTAGTTTTTATTAAAGAAGAATTAAAATAATTTGTTACAATAACATTTAAAAATATTTGAAAATTGTGAGATCCCTTCTTGATGCCTTGAAAATGGCAATGAAGTCTGGCGATTAAGATGTTTTTACATCTATGTGAGCTATTGTGATCCCCCACCGTCCGTCGTCGTGCGTCGTCAGCAATTTCTTTAAACAACATCTCCTCAGAAACAAATGACTGCACAGCAACCAAACTTTACAGGAATGATCCTAGGGTGGTCCCCTGCCAAAGTTGATCAAATGGTTCCGGTCTGTTGCATAAGTAGGTCACAGGGCCAGAAAAGGGGTTTCAAAAATGCAAAATTAAAAAATCTTGTCTGAAAGTACAAGGCCTAGAGCTTTGATATTTGGTATATGATATAACCTATAGGTCCTCTACCAAAATTGTTCAAATTTTAGCCCTGGGGTCAAAATTGGCCCCACTCCAGGGGGTCATAGATTTTCCTTATATGTATTTAGTGAAAACTTAAAAATTCTTCTTGTTTGAAGGTACAAGGCTTCAAGTTCAAAGAATATTACAGTTTATGCCATGATTAATATATAAATAAAGCCTTATGTCTTCAGTTGTTGTGTTAATAATAACCAGTACTCGGCGGGGGATATAAATTCAACGAATTTGCTTGTTTTCTTACTAAAGGTGGAACCGTTCTGTGTTCAACTAGAATAATTATGACTGTGAAAATCTAGATAGTTTAAAAGTGAAAAAAAAAATCTCAATTGTTAAGGTTAGTGTAAAGAATCTATACTTTTTGATATTGTAATTATTATATATATTAAAGAAAAAATCTCATGTTGTCATGTAACATGTTTTCAGTTTATCTGTTGTCTGAGAATGAAGTTTCATTTTATTAGTCCCCTACCGGTTTACCAGAGGGGACTTTAGGTTTACCCTCCATCCGTCTGTCCGTCCGTCTGTCCGTCCGCACTCACAGGAGAGTAATTATGTGGCTAGAGGGACAATAGGTAACTGTTCTTTCTCTTTGATGTCATTCATTCTGTAATGCTTTTATGTGGCTATTTTCTTTTGTGTGGCTAAAAAGAACAATAGAGAGAACAATAGAGTAGCCCCATAATTACTCTCCTGTTAGAACTTCCGTCTGTCAGTCCGTCAGTCTGTCCGTCCACAAAACTGGATCCCGCGATAACTTGAAAAGTACTGAAAATATTTTTATGAAACTTGATATATGGGTAGATGGCAGTATGGAGATTATGCACGTCTTTTTCTTTTTTTCCTATGTTAAAAATTCTGGTTGCTATGGCAACAAATAGGCTGAAAATATGGCAAATTTTACACATAAACTGGATCCAGTGATAACGCAAAAAGTACTGGAAATATTTTTATGAAACTTAATATATGGATAGATGGCAGTATGGAGATTATGCAGGTCTTTTTCTTTTCTTCCTATGTTGAAAATTCTGGTTGCTATGGCAACAAATAGGCTGAAAATATGGCAAATTTTACACATAAACTGGATCCAGTGATAATGCAAAAAGTAATAGAAATATTTTTATGAAACTTGTAATATGGGTAGATGGCAGTCTGGAGATTATGCACGTCTTTTTCTTTTCTTCCTATGTTGAAAATTCTGGTTGCTATGGCAACAAATAAGCTGAAAATATGGCAAATTTACATATAAACTGAATCCAGTGATAACTCAAAAAGTACTGGAAATATTTTTATGAAACTTGACATATGGGTAGATGGCAGTCTGGAGATTATGCATGTCTTATCTTTTCTTCCTATTTTGAAAAAATATTGGTTGCCTTGGCAACAAATAGGCTTAAAACATGGCAAATATAACAATATTTGTGATTAGTCAAAAAGAGCTGAAAATTTTTATGAAAAAAGCATCTTTAATTCAAGAGTTATCTCCTCTTTAAGAATTTTGCTTTTAAAAAGGTTATATTTTGGTAACAGGGCTGTTTCAAATATTAACTTTAGAGTGTCCTTCAGTCCATCTGTCTGTTCATAAAAACTGTTACCTGTGATCACTTTTAAAGAACTTTTCCAACAAATTTACTTAAAATAGAGAAAAATTGAAACATTAGTGAATGGCCAATGGCCTTCAGAATGTTGATGGGGTTCTAACCGGTAGATGACGTATGGATTGCTTGCAATACTATGATAATTGCTTGTTTAATCTTTTTTACCATTGCTAATTAACTGCCTTTTTAGCCCACCTGAGTGTTGAACTAGTGTGATAATCCCTGTCTGTTGTTGTAAGTTGTCAATAATTTCTTTAAAAACATCTGCTTTGAACCCAATGACTGGATATTAACCAAACTACACCAGAATGATCCTTGGAATGATACTTGACAAATGTGTGCAAATGGTTAGAGTCTGTTGCATAAGTAGGAACTTTTATTGGATGGTCCTTTTACTTAGGGCAAAGTAAAGGGTCTCTGAGTTCAATGTAAAGGTCACCAGCGCTCAAGACAAATTTTTTACCTTTTTTGTCATAAAAACTATTTATAGACTAATGTGTTTCATATTGAGAAAGAACATATCTAATATTGATAAGTTGTACCTGCCACACACATTTTTAGGTCTGGAGGTAAAAGGCCAATGTCACTGTTACATGTACCTGTAATAAAATAAACAAAACCAGCCATTAAGCAAAGTGAATTTTGAATGTAAATGCACCTTGATAAGTTGCACCATTTTAAGACCAAATGTATAGGTCTTTGGGACCTGTATTAACAAAAGATAAAACTGGCCTTAAAGGCATATAGCATTGACCAGGAAGCTTTGTATTTAGAAATTTTAGATGCACATTGATAAGACATATCATCCACACATATCAAAAAATTAAATGGTGCAAGGTCAAAGGGAATTATGAAATTAAACTAGCCACATCCATTTTAAGGTCAAAGGTCAAGGTCATTAGTACCTCTAGTTTTGAAAACTTTGAACTTGATAGGTACACTGTAGATGTACCTGGATGCTGTCTACCCACCTCGCCTATTTTCACTCCAAATGATAAAAAGTCAAGGTCACTTGGACCTGTAATAGTAATATTTTAACTGGCCTTTAAAACAAAGTGCATCAACCCAATATATGCATATGTACCTTTATAAGCTCTACCTGCCACAAATCAACCTTTTTCAAGTCAAAAGGTCAAATGTTAAGGTTACTGAGACCTATAATAGCAAAACATTAAATTGGCCACATTGTGCATTTACTGAGAAACTTCAATTTTTTGAACGTAGATGCACTTTGATCGGTTCTACTTGCCATTCTGATTTTAGGTCAAAGTTTAAAGGTGAAGTAAAAAAAGGATGTAGTTTTTGCTTATGGTCAATAACTGCAATAATGACTTTGAAACTTGTTATGTGGATGCATCTTTATGAGTTCTGCATGTCACACACAAATGGTCAAGGTCTATGTTACCTTCAAATTACCTCTTTAATGAAAAAATGTGCAGTTTACTATCCAGGCCTGAAGCATGCTACCCCTTAGTCAGTTCTTGTGTATTGACCAATGTCTTTCATATTTGTTAGGTAAATAAATAAATTCCTTGAGTGGTCCTTTAACTTTTGG